TGAACTCAGCGGTGCCTAACCACTGAGCAACATTTCCAACCCTTTTATTTTTAATTTTGAGATAGGGTCTTACTAAGTTGCTTAGGGTATTGTTAAGTTTTTGAGACTGACTTTGAACTTGTGATCCTCCTGCCTCAGCCTCTTTAACCCCCGGGGACTAAAAGCATGTGCTACCACATCTAGTTGAAGTCTCTCTTTTTGGACAATGGGGAAAGGAGAGAAAAAGATGCCTCCTTTTAGACAAGGTATAGGTGTGGTTCTCCTGTTCTCTCAGATCTGTAGGAGATAAATAAAGTGGAGGAGTAGAAGGAAGTTCATGCCCATCAGCACCTGCCTGCTGGACAGCGCTAACATGGCTCCTGGGGTTCTTCCTGTGTTTCCTATAAATCATTAATGAGCTCTATAAATTGTGCAGCTAAAAATAAAATAAATATGGGTTCAGTGGTAGAGCACTTTCTTTGTATGCCTGAGGCCCTGGGATCAATACCCAGCTCTGAAAAAATAAATAAATAAACAAGCAAATAATATATTAAAAATAAATAAAAAAAGGAAAATAAACATGACAAGTCTTATATACAGACTCATTACAAAAGAAGTTCTTATATAGGGATGGACTAAGAATTGTTAGTTTTCAAAAGAATATGTTTTGAAAATACAGAAGCACTGTATACTTTGTCTACAAATTTTGAAAGTTGATACATTTGAGAATCTATGATGTGCTAGACCTGTGCCTAGAATTACTTTAGGAATTATTATCTCCATTTTACATATGATGATGTTGAGTTTCAGAGATTTGACCAATGTGAGATGTGATAAACTGTTTTTTTAAAAATTTAAAAATTATATATATATATATATATATATTATATATTTATTTTTAGTTGTGGATGAACCTTTATTTATTTATTTTTATGTGGTGTTGAGAATTGAACCCAGTGCCTCACACATCCTAGGCAAGTGCTCTACCACTGAGCCACAACCCCAGCCCTCTGATAAACCGGTTTTTGTTTTTTGCAATACTGGGCATTGAATTCAGGGACTTGTAAATGCTAGGCAAGTGCTCTACCATTGAGCTACATCCCCAGACCCTAGAGTAGACTTTAGAAACCATTTTATGCTCTTGTTTTGCAAATGTCCAGAGGATTTAAGGTGATTTACTTGGTTAGTGGAGTCATGCCTAGAGTTCAGTTTTCTGAAAAATGTATTAAATAATACATAATGGCAGAACATTATACTGGTGTTTCAAATAGTTTAGTAGTTATAGAAACTCCATGTGTCTTACAGCCATATCTTAAAGAACAAGAACTACTAACTGGATATCTGGTGTTACTACATTGGATTCCAAACACTTTTTTATTGTATGCTGGTGTTGGAACTCAGGGCATCATGCATGTTAGGCAAACATTCTACCACTGAGTGACACCCCAGACAGTTTTTTAATTAAAGTGTTTTCACCATCTTGGGAAAATAAAAAAAGAAAAACAACTTTCCTCCTATACTCTCACTGAACAATCAGCATAGAAAACTTCTCTGGCCACTTGTGTAGGGGCTCCCAACCTTCTATCAAGCAAGCAATCAATTCTGCACCAGTGGGGTATTCTCTAATCCATTTCAGCTGTGACCCTATTTGTCTGGAGATAGCTCATGTCTTCCAGGTTTAAGACTCAGCCCCCAAGACTACCCCCCCTTCAGATGCCAATCAAAGGCACCAGGTTGTTTTCCATGTGCTTCTGACTGACCTGTATAAATCTGGGTTCCCATCCCCCTTCTCAGATTCAATTAATTTATTAGAGTGGTTCATAGAACTCAGGGAAACCTTTAGTTGCATTTACTGGCACATCACAAAGGATATTAATGAATACCAAATGAAAAGATGCATAGGGCAAGTAGGGGAGACGGACACTTTCTGGGTGTTCCACCTTCCAGGAACCTCCATGATCTTAGCTATCTGAAATTTTCCAAAACTCTGTCCTTTAGGGTTTTTTGGGAGGCTTCTACCCCAACCAGGATCACTGCATAGTATGCTTGATTGAATCACTGGCCTTTAGTGATCAGGTTAACCTTTTCAGCACCCCCTCGCCTCCAGACCTCCCCTTTCCTCCATTCCTAACCCCAGATTGGGGGTCCAGGCTAAAAGTCCTAACCCTCTAATCCTGCCTTGGTCTTTCTGGTGACCAGTTTTCATCTGAAGCCATTGATCATGTCATGTCAAAGATATTTATCCCTTTGAAGATCCAAGAATTTTAGGACTTGTACATCAGGTAAAGGAGACAAAGACCGAATGTGTGTTTTATATCAATCACATTGGGCTTTATTTACTAGCAGTATTTAAACTTTATTGGGAGGGGCCATTATGGGCAGTAATTCACATTATTAAATTTTATTGGTATGTTTTCCTTGGTAATATATTATTTGTCCCCCCCCCACTTTTTTTTGTTTGATCCTATCTGCTAAGTAGTTATTCCCTACCACTCCCTTCAAAATCTTTGCCTAGTTTGCCAGTATTTTATGTCAAATAAAATATTATTTCCTTATACTGGTAAGATTAGAAGAGATCCTTCAGTCTGGAATAGTTGTCCTATCCTTGGTGTTCCTGCTCTTTTCCTCCTACTCACCTATTCCAAGAAGTCATCTCTGATCACCCCTATTTGGAGTAGATATCCTTTCCTGTGTTCCCACTGCACATTATGATATCTTTAAATCACTCAACAAAATCATCTAGGTCTATCACAAGCCAGGAGTTAACAAAACATAACTCCTTGACCTTAAGGAATATAGAGGAGGCAGACAAGTAGATAAGAAAATGCAACATGATTGTATAACTTTCAAAAACTGATTACTATGTAGCAAGCATTGTGTTATGCACTTTGTGTTCATTATTTTGTGTCATTCTCTCAATAATCTTATGATCCTTATTTTACAGAGAAGGAAGAGAAATATAGAAGACTTCTGTGCTCTACCCCAACCAAGGTCAGTTAAGCCTCAGAATAGCTACCCAAATCCAGATCCAGAGCTCCTGTCCTTCCCCACTCTGTCTCTTGCCCCTACATGCATCAGTGCACTTGTTCTGTGTCTCAGGTGGTCTCAAGCACTATTCAAAGAATAGTGCCAGTGTAGGTATTTGGAAACTAATAATGACTTCAATTTTCATACAACCACTTTAACTGCTTCAGTATCTTCCCTTAGAGATTCCAAAAGGAGCTGAGCATGGTGGCACATAGCTGTAATCCCAGCAACTCAGGAGGCTGAGACAGGAGGATCATAAATTCAAGGCCAGCCTTAACAATATAGAGAGGCCCTAAGCAACTTAGTAAGACCTTGTCTCAAAAAATAAAAGTGTTTGGGGATGTAGCTCTGTGGTAGATCCCCAATACCCCCACCCCCAAAGAAAAAAGTTTCCAAAAGGACACAGTATACTAACACATACAGTGCAACACAGGAAAAACAATGTATATTGAAAGTTACTCATCAAGGTATTGCAGGTAATAGCAAGAGATTAGAAAGAACCTAAATGTTTTTCAATACAAAATTGGTTAAAAAAATCATGATATATTCATACAATGAAATTGTGCAGGTATAACAAATAATGAGGAAAATATATACAGATGTGCAGCGATATAAAAAGCATGATGTTATATGGAATGAACAAGGTATAAAAGAAAAGGGACTTTATAAGGAATCAGTAGTTATGTTTCTTTCTTTTGGTGTTGGGGATTGAACCCAGGACCTCCTGCACTTAAAACATGAGCTCTACTACTGAGATATACTGGAGCCCTAAGAGCGTGTTTCTCTTTGTGATTGGAAAAATGAAGGCAGTAAGACACTCTATCTAGGCTATGTATTTTGTGAGGTCATAGGCTATGCCTGCCTGATTCTCACAGTTGCTTTGTGCCTAGCTTAGTGTGCACTCAGTATTTGTGCAGTCAAGGAACCAAGTTGAAAAAAAAAGAGAAAATCGCAAATTCCCTTATTGGAAGGACTCAACTTTTTTGTGTTATTCCTGCTAAAAATATGCATCCTAAATCTAACCATGAAGAAACATCAGACAAACTGAAATTGAAGTACATTCTGAAAGATAAATGGCCTGTGCATTTCAAAAATGTCAAGGTCATAAATGACTTAAGAGAGCAGAAGACTATTGGATTGAGGGAGACTGAAGGAACATGACAATTGAATACACTGTGTAGGATGCCAGATTGGATTGGGGCCAGAAGGAAAAATGTTTCTTTGGCTATAAAGGACATTAATTATACAGTTGACTATATTTGAATAAGGTCTATAAATTAGATAATTGAGCTGATCAAATTTAATGTTAATTTCTGGATTTTGATGATACTACTGGAATTATAAGAAAATGTTTTTGAGACATGAGGTGTGAGGGAAAGGGAGAAAAAAGGGAAATTGCATGGAAATGGAGGGAGACCCTCATTGTTAAACAAAATTACATATAAGAGGTTGTGAGGGGAATGGGATAATAAACATGGAGGGAAATGAATTACAGTAGATGGGGTAGAGAGAGAAGATGGGAGGGGAGGGGAGGGGGGGGGGGGGGAGGGGGGATAGTAGAGGATAGGAAAGGTAGCAGAATACAACAGTCACTAATATGGCAGTATGTAAAAATGTGGATGTGTAACCGATGTGATTCTGCAATCTGTATTTGGGGTAAAAATGRGAGTTCATAACCCACTTGATTCTAATGTATGAAATATGATATGTCAAGAGCTTTGTAATGTTGTGAACAACCAATAAAAAAAATTAAAAAAAAAAGAAAATGTTTTTGTTTTTAGGAGTGAGGCACTTAAGAATTTAGGGGTACAAGGGCATTGGGTCTGCAATTTACTCTCAAATGGTTCAGGTAGGGGAAAAAAAGAGAAAGAATAATAATAAAGCAAACATGGTAAAATGTTAGTATTTGAAAAATACAATAATTCTTTGTACTAGTTTTGTAACTTTTCTGTCTGAAATTGTTTCAAAATAAAAACTTTTTTTTTCTTTTGTAGTACTAGGGATTGTATCCAGGCTTTTGCACTTGGAGACACCCCATCACTGAGCTACATCTCACCCTTGAACTTGGGATCTTCCTGCCTCAGCCTCTCGAGTAGCTGGGATTTCAGGTGTGTAACACCATGATTGGCTCTTTTTATAGATATTTATATTACTGGTGACATTTTTTTCCCTAGGTTTCTTAATATTTTTGTTTTTTTAAATAACAACTTTGTCGAGGTCTAATTACATACCATGTGCAATTCATCCTGAAGATCTTTTTACATAGATTTTAAATAGTGCCACTATATAAGGGAGGCATTTTTCTAAAAATCAACTTTATAAGGGTATAATTTACATATGATAAAATTCACATATTTTGATTGAAGAGGTTGATGACTTTTTTCTTTCTTTTCTCTCAGTACTGGGGATTAAAACCATTGTCTCAAGTTCAATCCGCAGCACCACAAAACAAACAAACAAAACAACAAAAAACCAGGGCCTCATATATGCTACGCTAACAGTCTGAAACTGAGCTACATCCCCACTCTTTTTTATTTTTATTTTGAGACAGAATCTCACTAAGTTGCCCAGGCTGGCCTTAAATTTGTAATCCTACCTCAAGTTTATGAGTTGCTCAGATTATAGATGTACACTACTAAACCTGGCTAGTTGATAACTTTTTTTTTTGTAGTGGGGGGGGATTGAACCCATAGGAACTTAACCACTGAGCCATTTCCCCAGCCTATTTTTATATTGTTTTAAAGACAGGGTCTTGTCAGTTGCTTATAGTCTTGCTAAATTGCTGAGGGTGACCTTGACCTATTTGATCCTCCTGCCTCAGCTTCCTGAACTGCTGTGATTACAGACATATCCCATCATGCCTGGCCTAGTTGACTTTAAATTTTTTTTTTAAGTTATAGATGGACACAATACCTCTATTTTATTTATTTATTTTTATGTGGTGCTGAGGATTGAACTTAGTGCCTCACACATGCTAGGTAAGCGCTCTATACTGAGCTACAGCCACAGCCCTAATTGATGATTTTTGATACATATATTCTCTATGTAACCATCACTCCAATCCAGATTCAAGATAAAAGATATTCCCATTTCTCCAGAAAGTTCTTTCATGCCCCTTTGTTTATACATTCAATTTTTGGTGGACATGGGAGTTAAGTACTCTTTGAATGGGGAAAGGAAGAGTAAGGTGTATGCCAGGTGAGTGAGTGTGGGGGATGGTGTAGGAGGGGTGAGGATGGCAGGAACAGGCTCCTGAGTGACTCAGAAGATGGTTCCCATGCAATTTGGACACAGCAGTTCCTGTATTCCAGAGCTAGGCACAGACATAGGGTGTTCTAGTATCTTTCTTTTTTGGGATATATTTTGGTTCAGAGATTAGAGGATGTGTGGTCTAAAAATGTGCAATTAATAATGGAGAACATTCTGACTGGCTGTTGGCTCATAGTCTTTCTTATCTTTATTGGTGTTCTGATCATCTTACCTTTTCCTGTCTACGTCTGCTATTTTACTGGGAGATTGGGAAGAACTATCAGGTTGGCTGCTGCCATGTTAACACAGCATTTCTCATGTGATATCTAAAATGTCAATGACTTATTGTTAAATAGGAAGATTATTGCTTTAAAAGTCTATTTGGAAAGAAATAAGACTTTAAGATGTGGATTTTATGCATATTGATGCTTAGTAAAACTTGATTTGGTCATTGATCACTCCTGTACTGACCAAATGGGAAACAAAATTTATATTTTCACTCACAAATTGTGACCCAGAAAATCTAGTTCTCTATACCTGTCATTTCCCCCCTTGTTTTATGTCTGCTATTATTATTCTATTCATATTAAGGAGAGAGGGTATGGGCAGGTAGTGTCTACCAGAAAAAAGCTTGGGCTACACAGTGATCAGATTAGGTTATGAACTTATAATTTGCCTGTGTTTAATGTCTGGAAAACTGTTCTCAAGATAACTAAAATTACCTTCAGCATTTTTAATGATGGTTACAGTATATATACAGTGTATATACATTTACACTCTTCCTGACGAGTGCCTAGAACACACCAAACACACGATACATGGTATTATTATTCTAAATGATTTCTGCATTTGCTCAGGTGTATTGTCTTTTTTTTTTTTTTTTTTTTGGTGGGGTATGGGGAATTAGAACTTAGGGCCACTTGACCACTGAGCTTCATCCACTATTTTGTAGTTTATTTTGAGACAGGGTCTCACTGAATTGCTTAGTGCCTCGAAGTTGCTGAGGCTGGCTTTGCACTCGCAATCACCCTGTCTCAGACTCCTGAGCCACTGGGATTATAGGTCTGTTGCCTTTTTTTAAAAAAATTTTTTAAAGATGTTGATGGACCTTTATTTAATTTAATTATATTTATTTATATTTGGTGTTGAGAATCGAACCCAGTGCCTCATACATGCTAGGCAAGTGCTCTACTACTGAGCTACAACCCGAGCCCGGTGTATTGCCTTTTAACAAAGCTTTTTCTCCCCCTCCTTTGATAAAAAGTAATTAATTAAAATACATTGTCTTTTCTCAGACACACTGCAGAGAGACCTTTTTGTCCTTCCTGAGCGTACAGATGCTGGACAGATGATTGTCCTCTGCCCTGTGCTGCTGTAGGTGGCCCAGACTTGGAGCTGTCCAGCAGGAAAGTATGGATTCCAAAGATGAAAGCTCACACGTGTGGCCGACGTCTGCAGAGCATGAACAGAATGCCACACAGGTGAAGGGTGTTCTCTTCCAGCTGGCTAATGATAGTAGTGTTTTTGTTGGGTTCAGTTTGCTGATAGCTAAAGAAATAATAGCTACTTTGTAGTAATGAGTAGTTGGGAGGGAGTTGACAGGAAGAACTTGTGCATAGCACTCTGAATGCTCCATTGCCATGTTTCACCGTGATTTAGAAAAACCCATATCCACTACCCCACAATCTTGGTTCCCTGCCCCAGGCTTCTCTGCCTTATTTGAAACTTAGTTTCAGTTTTTAGACCCTACTTTATTTTTCATTTTTGGTGTTGAAAGCCTCAAACTGTTGTTTCTATTATGCCATTCAGTATAAGGTTTTGATTCTATGTGAGTTATAAGATACAATGTGTGTTTATAAAGTGAGTGGCCTTTTCTTTTAAATTTAAAATGTAAACTTCTAAATGCAAATTGTCCCATTAAGAGTCACAAATTTTGGTTAGTCATTTATTCAAATGCTGTTGTCATTGATAATCTCTGGCTTTTTCTTTTCTGTTAGCTTTCTCTGTCTCTCTCTCTTCCTCCCTCTCTCCCACCCCCCCCACCTCTCTCTTTCTTTCTTTATCCCAGGGGCACTTTACCACTGAGCTATATCCCCAGCCTTTTTAAATGTTTAAAAAAAAACATTTTTAGATGTTGATGGACCTTTATTTTATTCATTTATTTATATGTGGTGCTGAGAATTGAACCCAGTACCTCACACATACTAGGCAAGTGCTCTACTATTGAACCACAACTCCAGCCTCAATCCCCAGATTTTTATTTTATTTTGAGACAGGGTCTTGTGAGATTGCCTGAGGCTGGCCTCCAGTTTGCTCTCCTGCCTCAGCTATTTCCTGAGTTGCTGTCTGGCTGATCTCTACCTTTTGACTTGCTGGTGGAACCAGCTGCATTTTCTTTTTCTTTGCAAAGGGGACTCATATGTTGCTGAAGCTGATCTCAAACTCCTGAGCTCAAGCAATCTGTGTGCCTTAGCCTCCTGGCTTCACCTGCATGTTCTTTTGACTTCTTGGTAGAGGCACATCTCTGCTTTTTTTTTTTTTTTTTTTTTGGTGTGGATTTGAATTTGGAATGGGTCAGCAGTACTAGGGAGCCATGTTTTATTTGTGACCAAAGTATAAAACTTAATTTTTATACATTAGGATAGATGTGAAGTTTTTGTTCAAATTTTTATTCAATCACATAACCACAGTACTATCATAAAAATCAGGAAGTCAACATTGAAACATTCAAATAGGTAAGTCTTATTTAATTTAAGCAATATCATTTATATTATAATATGTAAAACTGATCATCTGCTATGAATTAAAAGTCTCAGTCTGAAAACTTTAAAAAAAGCAGTTGTAGCTGGGTGCAGTGGCACATGCCTGCAATCCTAAGACTTGGGAGGCTGAGGCAGGAAGGTCACAAGTTCAAGCCCAGCATCAGCAACTTAGCAAGAACCTGTTTCAAAATGAAAAATAAAAAAGACTGGGGGTGTAGCTCATAGCTCAGGGTAAAGCACCCTGGGTGTTCAAACCCCAGTACAAAAAAAAAAAAAAAAAAAGAGAGAAAAAAAAGAAAAAAAAAAGAGACAATTTCATAGTGTTCTCATATATTTTGCTTATCAAAAAGCAAAACAAAGGTGAATGTGGTTGTGATGTGGTACATAACCAGAGTCCCAATCTCTGGATAACCAAATAACAGATAGCTAAGGCCAGGAATCCTCCATTGCATTCTCTCTCTGTCTCTCTCTCTCTTTTTTTTTTTTTTGTACTGGGGATTTAACTCAGGGGCACTCCATTACTGAGCCACATCCCCAGCCCTTTTTTCTATTTTATTTAGAGATAGGGGCTTACTGAGTTGCTTAGGGCCTCAATAAGTTGCTGAGGCTGGTTTTGAACTCATGATTCTCCTGCCTCAGCCTTCCAAGCTGAGGGCCACCTCACCTGGCCCCTTATATATTTTTTTTTCCTAGTCATTCATGCTCTTGGCTAGGAAATTGATTCTGGTGGGTTTTTTTTTTTTTGTTTTTTAATTCTTCAAATTCTGATTGGCAGAATCTGAGTGAGGAAGACCAAGCAGAAAAGTTTATATCTTAGATGGCTCATCTTTTTGGGAAATGTTTTTTCCTTCTTTAAGCACTGGACCTAGTTCAAAGCTTTGTTAATGAACAAATCTGTATAAACTTTATCTTTATGGATAAATCAAATTTACATAGAAGACAGACTAATCATTTAGTATAGAAGTGGAAGTTTGCTGTATTCTTGTGATGTTTAATTTACATTTGGCTTCTGGGTTTCTTTCTGGGGATTAAGTTAGTTTATATCCGCTTTGGAATCCATTTCCCCACTGGAGAAAACTGACAAAAATGTTAGGTCCACTGCCTTGGCGGTAAGGGTCCTAACCTGAAAGCGTGATTTCCACATCAGTACATAAATGATCTCTCTCCTAAATGTGTACTTCAAGCATCTGTTTCTAGACCTTCAATCTTGGGCATTAGGCCACATTCCAAGCTGTAGCCCTCATACATGCAGTCCTACATGCTGACCATTCAGAAAGTATTTTATAAAACTCAAGTTTTTGCTTTTAGTTCTTTAGGCTTTGGAAGATAGAAAATTGTTTACCCTGGTGACAACTAAATATTTGTCTAGAATCCCTTAAAAGTTTTTTAATAAGGATTTTCTGTGTGTTTACCTCGCTGGCAAAGAAGAGTTTCGTTATTCATTTATTGATTCTGCTGACTGATATGCCTCCAGTATGTTTTTTTAGTGTGAAAGAACTTATAGAAAAGAATATGGACTTATTAAAAAAATTTTTTAGTTGTAATTGGACATTATACCTTTATTTTACTTATTTATCTTTTATGTAATGGTAAGGATCGAACCCAGTGCCTCGAATGTGCTAGGTGAGTGCTGTACCACTGAGTCACAACTCCAGCTCCTAATATGGCCTTATTTTAATAACTAACTTAAAGGAACTGTTATGAAATAGATTTTTTTTGTGATATGCTGAGAGCAATTGGCTTTTGAGGTCTTGACATATTTGTTCACATTGCAGAATAATTTGTGTTTTATATTTTTTTGGTGTTGTCAAAGAGGAATCTGCAGTCACTTTTCCAGGATCAATTAACCCCCTACCACCTATGACTCCCCAAAGGAGTTATCTGCATTGGACATTTGAGGCAGAGGAATTTAAGTCATTCTCTCACATTAAGTGATAAATCTATGACACAGTTCTTACACTCTGTCTCCTTGTCTCTTAGATGGAACTGCCTAAATTCTCATTCTTCTTTCATTGGGGATATTTTAGGAGTGCAAATGTGCTTGGTTGACTATGTACCTTTGTGAGATTGATTTCTTTTTACAAGAATAATTGCTACATACTTGTCTGTTTTTTTTTGCACCAGGTGCACTTTGTTCCAGATGCTGGAACTGTGGCTCAGATTGTCTACACTGATGACCAGGTCCGTCCACCCCAGCAGGTGGTGTACACGGCAGATGGTGCCTCCTACACTTCAGTGGATGGTCCTGAGCACACACTGGTATACATCCATCCTGTGGAAGCTGCACAGGCATGTGAAGAATTAGTGTTTTTTAATTTGTTAATTAATTAATTAATTCAGCAGTTACTTATATTTATTCTATGCCAGTCATTGTGCTAGGTACTGGTGAAGCAGGTAATGTTCAGATAAGATTTGTGTTCTCAAGGAGCTCATAACCAACTCATCAGAGAAGAGATCATTCATTTAATTTAAATTAAGGCTAATAAGTATTTAGAGCACTAGCCTTATATCAGTTCTTCTCTCTAGTGACTAGATTGTGAATTTGTTACTTTTTTTGAGTATCAGTAACCAGGCGTTTAGTTCTGTATAGCTTAATCATAGATGGTTCAGTGAAAATGTATGGTTTATTTCAGTTAAATGTATATGCAAAAAGTTCTAATAGCTTATTAAATACCCTTTATTAATAACCTACTGATTCTTAGTCTATAACAGAAGCCATTGTGTTTACTGGTAAATGCTGTACAATTGTAGCTACTTTAATTTTTTTCCCAGCGGCTTGAACTTCCCAAAGATATTCCCTAGATATTCCCACAAATATTCCCTAGTTTACAAATGTTATTTTCTATTGTTCATACTTTACAATGTGTAAAGTACCTTTAAACATGTTTTTATGTGTTGATGTTGAACCTAGGGCCTTGTGCTTGCTAAGCACATGCTTTACCATGAGCCTATTTCCAATTGCCAAACACATGTTTTTAAAAAACAAATTATATACTTTGTGGTAGGATCCTGATAATGAAATTCGCCCCTCATACAATATTTAATCAAGAGACTTCCAATCACTCACAAGAAGATATGAGGCTCACCTAGTTAATACTTTTCTAATCTATATAATGATGAAATTGCCAAATACTTTGATGGTACTTTTGGAATTCCTCTGCTTAGGTTTAGTCCTCTAACTCTATTAAAATAAGACCACATAATTTATGAAAAGAATGTCCTGTGCCCAACTATAGTTTATTATGATGTTACTAAACATCTAAAGTTTTTAAAAAATATTTATCTTTTTAGTTGTAGTTGGACACAATACCTGTATTTTATTTATTTATTTTTATGCTGTGCTGAGGATTGAACTCAGGGCCTTGCTAGGGTTGTGGCTTAGTGGTAGAGCGCTTGCCTAGCCCCTAAACATCTAAATTTTGATAATTTAAAAAAATCAAATATGAGAAATCTGATACTGCCTGAAACTGTTCTTTATATTTCTCTGGAATTAAAATTTAACCATAGGATGCTGGAGTTGTGGCTCAGTGGTAGAGTGCTTGCCTAACACATGTGAAGCACTTAGTTTGATCTTTAGCACCACATAAAAATACATAAAGGTATTGTGTCCATCTACAACTAAAAAAAAAATTTAAAAGATTTAATCATAGTTCTTATTCCCATAAGTTTGTTAAAATCTTGGGCAAATTAAAATCTTTTAAAAGCTTTAGAAGAGAGCATATTTTTTGGGGTCAGGATGTTAACCATGGTGCCTTGGCTATGATATAGTCTTGAAGATTTTCTTTCTCTTCTTACTTTGCTGCAGTATGACCCCACTAATTGTGATCACTTTTTCTTAACTTGTATTGTGACTTTACTGGCTTTTTCCAAACCTATGGGACATTAAGTTCAATTTATATTACTTCTACTTCTCTTCTGATAATAAACATGAGTTTGCATTTGATAGCATTGAAAACCCTGTTTTTATGATAATCTTCTCTATGTCTATATATCTCCTTCCATTTTCTTTGAATCACAAATCTGTTCCAGTGAATGATGTTATGTGAATATATATAACCTTGTTCATAGCATGTCTTGTATATTTTCATGACATACCATTTTAATTAGGTATGACATTCAACCTCAAGATAGACTTTGGTTAAAAGTAAAATAATGAAACATGTTAGCCATGTGAGATCGTTAGACATACCATCTCCTTGGAGCCATCTGAATGAAAAGCTTTCTTTAGCCAAATGTAAGATTGCTATCTATATCTTCTTTATTAATGAAGAATTATCAGCTATGATGGTAGATAACTCTCCTAAGCATTGGTGCTTAGCAGTAGTATAATTTTTCCTGTGTAGGCAAATGTCTAAAGATCTATTGATAATTTTTTTTTCTTTTTCTTTTTGGTCTAGACTCTGTTTACAGACCCAGGCCAGGTAGCTTATGTCCAACAGGATACTACAGCTCAGCAGGTAATGACTTACCTTTTTGTTGTTTGTGGATAATACTGTGACTGTCAGTTCCCTGGAATTTTCCTCTAATCCTCTGCCTGGTGCTATTTCTGAATATTTTTTTTTCTTAAATACTAAGAACATTGTCTGAGAGCTTCTTTTCATGGAAATAAAGCAAAACGTAACATAATACTAACACACTCCAGTCAGTAAATATTAGAATGGCTGGTAATAAAAAGTGATTTGTCAGAGAAGTTTTTTTTTTTTTTTTTTTTTTTTTTTAAAAAGAAAAACAACATATACTGGAGAGGCAGAGGCAGAATCACTTGAACCCAATAGTTTGAGATCAGTCTGGGCAACATAGTGAAACCCCCATCTCTAAAAACCAAAAAAGGATATAAGCAGTACATTGGTTCATGCTCCAAAGAATAATCATGAAACTTTTTTCTTTTCATACTAGGGATTGAACCCAGGGTCTAACACATGCTGGGCAAGTGCATTGCCAGTGATCTATATCCCCTACCCTTTTTATTTTTAGACAGGGTCTCACTAAATTGCCAAAGTTGGATTTCAACTTGCATACTTCCTGCCTCAGCTTTTCCAAAAACTGGGATTACAGATGTGCACCACCTTGCCCCCTGCTAATGATGAGTTTTTAATGTGTCTTTCTTTTTTTTTGGAAATGTTTTTGTACTTGTTCTATTTTCAAATACTGAAGAAATATTAGCTTAAATTATATTTCAATTTGGTGATAGCCTTCCTTATTCTGGCTTCTGAAAAACTGAAATTCTTCTTGATTTTCTCTTCTTTTTTAATACTGTAAAGAACACTATCATGGATGTCATATTAGACTATTTCCTTTGGCTAAGTTTCCCAAGGAGAAATGGTAGAGACAAAAGATATTCACATTTTAAGTTATTTAAGAACCAAGTTTGGGCTAGGGGATGTAGCTCAGTGATAGAGTGCTTGCTTAGCATATACAGGACTCTGGTTTGGATCCTCAGCATTGAAAATAAAAAGAAATAAGAACCAAGGTTTTGTTTGAAAGTGCATAAAAATACAAGAATAAAAATCAAATAAAGGCCTAGAATCCCAAATTTGAATTGGAATATCAATACGAAATCAAGATATATTTTCTCTTCCAAAAAAACAAAAACAAAAAAATAAAAACATGTTATCAGGACTGGGGTGTAGCTCAGTGGGAAAGCATATGCATTGCATGTATGAGACCTGGATTTGATCCCCAGCACTGCAAAAAATGTTCTGTAGTTCTGGTCACTGCAGAGGTGTAGAGACACAAAGGATCAGTCTCGTATTACCAACCATCCCTAACACCCCTCAGTGTGGTCTCTAAGTACAGATCTCCAGTGAAAGGAATTAGAGCTTCTTGAAGAAATGTCAGATTTCAAAACTAGGGGAAGGAATATACAAGATGAATTTGGAGCATCTCATCTTTTCAGAATGCAAAGGAGTTGTTAAAAACTTCTGGTGTCCTACGGAAGCAACTCAAGATGTAATTTGCAGGGGCCAAAATAGGACAATTGACCTGTCAGAAAGGCTAATATCTATAATTGATTAAAAGTACTTAAATATACTTATAGTCTGCATATTTATTTTGATATTGAAAGAAATAACTCATTGGTCACTTTTTTCTTGATGCTAGGGATCACCACATTATCCTGAAAACTGGTAAATGAAGGGAATGAAGTACTTTCTCTCTGGAAGTATTCAAGTAACCAGTTACTTCATACGAAGGACCTTCCTTCCTTCGTTCCTTCATTCCTTCGTTCATTTGTTCCTTCCTTCCTTTTTTCCTTCTTCCCTTCCTCCCTTCCTCCCTCCCCCACCTCTTTCTCTTTCTCTTTTATTTGTTCTTTTCAGATATACATGACAGTAGAGTATATTTTGACGTATTTTATGTACGTGGAGTATAACTTATTCTAATTAGGATCCCATTCTTGTGGTTTTACATGATGTGTAGTTTTACTGGTGGAAATATTTTTTTCCTTCTTAATATTTATTTTTTAGTTGTAGTTGAACACAATACCTTTATTTATTTTTATGTGGAGCTGAGGATCAAACCCAGGGCCTTGCACGTGCTAAGCAAGCGCTCTACCGCTAAGCCACAAGCCCAGCCCATGGTGGAAATTTCTTTATAGAAGCATTCCAACTAATAAATATAGCACCATTTGTATTCCCTAATGACATATGAATCTAGGCAATGATTATCAACAGCATACTAAAACCATCAAGAAAAGTTGGTTTTAGTGAGGAATTTTATAATAGATCAGAATAATAGCAACTTAAACCTCTGACCCTTCTTAGTATTGCTAGAAGAGAGAAAACCATTCATTACATGCCTCCTGGTGTTGGGTACTTCTGAAATTACTGTATACCATGTGTGAAGTATTCATCCCCCCAAAATCAAATCTGAATCTGATTGAGTCTCTAGATTCAGCTGCCAGATTATAGGAAGCATGGTTCACTAATGAAGTTAAAAAGACACACAAGATTGTAATTAGCAAAATCTAACCTGTGGGAAACTCTAGAATAAATGGTCTGGCTTATTTATTCATTTGTTCTTTTGCTGGGGATGGAACCCAGTGCTTAATATATGTTAAAGAAGTGCTCTGTCTCTAAGCTACACCCTTAGTCCTTGACTTTTTTCCCCTACAAATAAAACACAAGCAAAAAGAGGAGGTAAGAGAGCTAACAGATTAAGAGACTTCAGGAACATTATTAGTTAGATGCAATATATGGTCCTTGTTTGGAAACTGATTTGAACAAACTGAAGGTAAAAATATTTATGAGACAATTGGGGAAATAGTATTACTAACTGGATATTTGATAATATTAAGACAATTTTTTTAGATATAATATATGAAATATAAAATAATTTTGTAGATATATATTAAACTATTTACAAATGAAAATGTATAACATCTAGGTTTGCTTCAAAATAATCTAGAGAGGAAGAAAGTGTAGGAGATTAGTTAGATGTAAGATGGGCTATGAAACTTCTCAGAAGATGATGTACAATCAGTCAACAAATGCATGGAAAAATGTTCGTCATCTCTAGCAATTAGATAAATGCAAATCAAAACCACTCTAAGATTTCATCTCACTCCAGTCAGAATGGCAACTATTCATACAAATAACAATAAGTGTTGGTGAGGATGTGGGGAAAAAGGTACACTCATACACTGCTGGTGGAACTGCAAATTGGTGCAGCCAATATGGAAAGCAGGATGGAGATTTCTTGAAAAATTGGGAATGGAACCACCATATGACCCAGCTATCCCTCTCCTCGGTCTGTACCCAAAGGACTTAAAAACAGCATACTACAGGGACACAGCCACATCAATGTTTATAGCAGCACAATTCACAATAGCTAAACTGTGGAGCCAACCTAGATGCCCTTCAATAGATGAATGGATAAAAAAAATGTGGCATATATACACAATGGAATATTACTCAGCCATAAAAGAGAATAAAATCGTGGCATTTGCAGGTAAATGGATGGGTTAGAGAAGAAATGCTAAGTGAAGTTAGCCAATCTCAAAAAACCAAATGCTGAATGTTTTCTTTGATATAAAGAGGCTGATTCATAGTGGGATAGGGAGCGGGGGCATGGGAGGAATAGATGAACTCTAGATAGGGGAGAGGGATTGGAGGGGAAGGGAGGGAGCATGGGGTTATTAATGATGGTGGAATGTGATGATCATTATTATCCAAAAGTACATGTATGAAGACACAAATTGGTGTGAATATACTATGTATACAACCAGAGATATGGAAAATTGTGCTCTATATGTGTAATAAGAATTGTAATGCATTCCGCTGCCATATATAAATTAAAAAAAAAGATGGGCTATGAGTTGATAATTATTGAAGTAGAATGGCAAGTGCATTAGTTTTATCATAATATTCTCTATTTGATATATTTTTGAAATTTGTTCTTACAAATGGAAAAAACTATTTTGATAAGACTTTAAGTTGCTTTTGGATACTGAAAAAATGTATATTCTTGGGGCTGGGGTTGTGGCTCAGTGGTAGAGTGCTCACCTTGCATGATTGAGGTGCTGAGTTTGATCACGCCACCACATAAATGTAAAATAAAGATCTTGTGTCCACTTAAAACTAAAAAATATTTTAAAAATGTATATTTTTACCCAAAATATATGAGTATGCCAGTTTTCATGCTGCCTTTCCACATTGGTTATTTACATTCTTTTCAAATTTTGCCAATCTGATAAGCAATATCAGATTGGCAGATTTGTTGGTCAGAGGATTTTAATATTAAGGCATAGATTTAATTAAAGGACTTGTTGCTATTTGCACTTCAAAGTACTCTTCATCTTTTCCAATCTCCAGAAACAATCTGCTTACTTCATGTTTTGTACAAAAGGAAAGTTGCTCTTAGCCCTATGAATCCTGGCATTGTAAAGGCAGTGTAACTGTTGTCTTAGCATCTTTCTTTTCCTTTTCCTTTTTTTTTTTTTTTTTTGATGCTGAGAATGGAACTCAGGGCTTAGTGCATGCTAGACACATGCTCTACCTCTGAACTGAACTACACCCTTAGCCCCAGCATCTTTCTTTATTGTAGTTTCCTTTCAATCAGCACAGCTTTTATTTCTGGTTTTCATACCTTGGCAGTTGTTATTCTACGTGGTGACCTGGATAAATTCTGGATAGAAAATTGGGATGAGGCTTTAACACAGATGATGTTTGCATTTGTTATTGTTGCCTTAGTGAAAAGGTTTCTATTTCCAATTGTTTTTAGTGGTAGCAAAATCTGTTTAAAGCCCTTTTCATATGTGCCTTCCCTTGTCCTTAAGAAAAGCATGCATAGTCTCTAGATGTGAAAGCACAGTCTCCACTTTGTTTCTGAAAATGAACATGTGTGACTCCCCACACACTGAGAAGAAAATATGCTGCACTGATAATTGGTCTCAGTAGGAACCAAGAAGCCTTCTGTCGTGTTTGCTGCTGTCCAGTGGCGTTTCATATTCCACTTCTCAGATAAATTGTATCCTAAAATACATTGTGTAGCTTCAGAAATAATTTAGAATGGCATTAAATGGAAGAAGAAAGAATACCAAAATTTAAACCAATCCCTTTTCCTTTTACTGTATTTGATTGTACATGACAACACATAAAGACACTAAAATAATTTCATTTCTTATTCTTTTCCTGTAAATAAAATAGGCACATGTTGCTTACCAACTCACTGCCTGGCTAGTACCTTAGGAGCATGTGTGTTGCCCTGGCATCCAAGTTTACCTTTGCTTCCCTGGTTGGATAGATTGAATTTCAAATTCTGAATTCCCTGGGGGCCATTGTGATGAAGTAGAAAAAGCAGGGCAGAGGCAAAATTTGAATTTCACTCTGCCACTTAGGAGCTGTGTGATAACACTTGGACTCAAAGGAATTTAAATATATGCCTGGCACTCAGTAAATGTCAGTTGAATTTGAATCAGACAAATTTGCAGTGCATCCTACTGTGTGTTCAGGTCTATACTCGCTAGAAATATATAGCTCTTATCTAGACATGATCACCAACCCCCTCACCCCCACCCTGGCCCACCCCAGCCCTTCAACAGTAGTTTTCTTGGTTCTAGTGTACATTCAACTGCTTTAGCATGAGTCCTTAAAAGATAATGTAGTAGTATTCAAGTCTTTCCTTTGACAGTCTTTTGGGAGTATCCCAGCATGGGGGAGGTGAAGATTGTTGGTGATATTTTGATGTCAGCTTTCTCAGCACTGGCAAGTAACCAACAGCTACCTTACTGAATGAGAGTCCTGACAGCATTTATTGGGAACAAAATATATATCATCTTAGCTTTTCTAGAATAACTCTGAATTGCTGAATTCATTCTTCCAGGATGTCCTGGCAGAGACATAAAGAATTTATGCTTTGGTTTGTTTAGTGTGTGATAACATTCATCACTAATGCTGGCATGAAATTTAAGTGGTTTAGAATAAAAGGTGACAGAGTAAACTGTGCTCTGAAATGGTGAGAATGAAGTAGCTTTCTTGTAGGATGTGATGAGGAGGCCAAAGCCATTGCATTGCTAGAAGTCCCCTGTCCTCTTTTTGTCTCCATGTCCCCTTGTTCTCACCCTCAGGCAGTATTTTCTTCTGTTTCTATTGAAGCTGAGGCAGGCTGGGAGTTGTGACTTGTCCCCAGACCTTTTTATATTTTATTTAGAGAGACTCTTTTAAGACTCTTTAAGCAACTCTTGTCGAGTTGCTTAGGGCCTTGCTAAGATGCTGAGGTTGGCTTTGAACTCATGGTCCTCCTGCCTCAGCTTCCTGAGCCACTGGGATTACAGGCATACAACACTGTGCCTGGCTGAGACCTCATCTCTCTCTCTCTCTCTCTCTCTCTCTCAGAACTCATATCTCTCTCTCTCTCTTTTTGAGTTACTGGGGACTGAACTCAGGGGAACTCAATCATTGAACCATATTCCCAGCCCTATTTTGTATTTTATTTAGAGACAGGGTCTCACTGAGTTGCTTAGTGCCTCGCCATTGCTGAGGCTGGCTTTGAACTCATAATCCTCCTGTCTTAGCTTCCCAAGCTGTGAGACCTCATCTTTTAATAAGTGTTTTAACAAATTAAAAATAGTGAAAATAAAACATGTATTCTATTTGAGGTAGCTGATTTTATGTGATTTTTTGGAGCCAGAGTGTTTCAAATATTGAGCAGTGGTCTTTAAACTATCACAACAGGCTGTGTTCTATAAATACATTCAATACTGTTTCTTCATAGATTTAGATGCATAACAACAACAATAACAAAAGAATGTCTCTGTGAATAGTAGCAAAGAGTTTTTCTAGTTGCCTGAAGGGATTGAAGTCATTTCCCAAAGGGCCACATATAGTTCAACAAACTATATTCAAACAGTCTTAGTTGAACAAGTACTCTATGCTCAGCAATATTGTCTTTTAAAGTTATAGAGGAAGTGTATGATGTCACCTTGGTCCTTAATGAAGTTAAGATTATAATTGTAATAATAATGCTGAGTACTAAGTGCCAACAATTCTGTTACTGCCCTTACATGTATATTGTTTCACTTTATCCTCACAACAACCATTTTGGTATATATTCATGTGTCCATTTGACAAATGATGAAACCGAGGTTCAGAGAAATTTAATAACTTGCTAAGTAGTGGGGTCAGGACTCTTTCTAAATCTGTCTGATTTCTGAGACCATGGTTTACTTCCTAAGGCATAGTTGGACAGCCAAGATGGACTTGTGGAAGTGAATACTCAGGGACAAAGCAGATGGTGGTTGGCAATGGATACAAGGCTATGAGGAATGGCTAATGTGTGAGATGTCAGAATCAAGATTCTCAAAGATCTTAGCAGACTGGAATAACAGGAGTAATGAAATTTACTGGAGATAAATGCAAAATCCCCCTTTTAAGTAAAAAAGCAGCTATTTAAGTCCTGAGGAGGGAAAAGATGGTTTAATAAACTCTGTGAGGGGGAAAAAAGGACTTGACAATTAATTTTAATTATTGGCAAGTTCAGGTTCAGTTCATGCTGGAAGAGTAGATGTCATAGATGCTAATATTGTTTGATACTATATTCATAAAAATATGGAATCCATTGAGAAATAAATGAAGGCAAGAGGATCAGAGACCTCTTGTGAATAGTAGCAAAGAGTTCAGCCATGTGAGGAATGATTGAATGAATTAGGGGTTTTTGGTCCACAAGTGTTTAGTTCACGTTGCTGAAGGATTAGACTTATTCTACCTAATTCTAGAGGAAAGTCCTAGGCCCTGACCACTGAATGGAAGATGTGTGTGGGGAGATTTGGACTAAGCAGAAGCTGTCAGGGCTATCCCAGAATGATCTGGGCTGCCTGGTAAGGAAATGAGGCTCAGGATTGTGGAGATCTGGATTCTGTGACTCTTAAATGCTATAGGAATTTGGAACATAGGGGGTTTAGTCAGAGAGGCCTAGAAGCAACATATAGGGCTCATTGGGAAACTGAAACATAATTTGATTTAGAAGATTGGTGAGGGAAGAACATTCTAGGAGAAGAAAATGGTATATGAGAAGAAGAAGGAAAAGGGAGTAGATATATTTAGATGCTTGATTCATTGAATAGGGGAGGGTACATGACATGAATATGACCTATGAACTAATTGGGTAGGAGAGATAATACTGAATAAAAGGAATCTAGGGTATAATATAACTCCATAACACATGAGAAGCAGGAGAACTTCTTTTTTTTTTAAATTTTTATTTTTTAGAAGAACTTCTTAAGGTGCCATTTATTTTCTACCCATGTATTTGATGATATAATATTAATCCAATATGTCACCCAAATCTTGTTTTATTTGCAAGAGCCTGACTTCAACATCAGGAAGCCAATAGGTACCTCCTTTGTTCCTTCCTGAAAACCTTAGCTCTCTGAAGTGTTTGAAAGGAGACTTGTCAACCATAGAATTAAACCAACCATGTATTGCACCATGTTTGGATTTAAAAGTGAAGTAGGTAGGGGCTGGGGATATAGATTAGTGGTAGAGCACTTGCCCAGTATCCTAGCATAGGGAGACCCTAAGTTCTATCTTCAAAACTGGGGAAAAAAATGGTGGTGGAAGTGAAGCAGACTGGATGCACACCTATAGTTCCAGCTACTCAGGATGCTAAAGCAGGGTATCACTTGAGCCCAGGAGTTTGGGGCCGGCTTGGGGAACATAGCAAGACCCCATCTCTTGAGGAAAAAAAAAAGAGCCAGGTGCTATGGTACAGTTTTATAATCCCAGCAACTCGGGAGGCTAAGGCAGGAGGATTACAAGTTCAAGGCTGGCCTCAGCAACTTAGTGAGACCCTATCTCAAAATAAAAAAATAGAAAGGGCTAGGAATGTAGCTTAGTGGTAAAATATCCCTGGATTCAATCCCCAGTACAAACAAAAACAAAAACAAAGTGGTTGAAGAGTGGCCAAGTCATTCTCTCTTTTGTGTGGTGGTATCCTGAAAGGGCAGGTGGGACCCTCACCCCAGATTTAGTTTATACTGTGAAGACTGAGGATCCCCCATACCCCAAGAGATGATGAAAAGATGTTGCATGTTCTGGAAGTCTCTGAGGAAGCATGGTGGTCCTCTAGAGTAGGTGTGAATTGGCTTGTGGGTGCAATTCAAGGAGTAGAGCCTTGGCATCACTGGGTCTAAGGGATGGGGTTAGATGCTTAAGATTAGGGCCTTGTTAGGTTTGAATCTCCTGCTGGAATCAGAGGAGAGAGACCTAGGCTTTCTTCTTAGCCTTTCAGATAACAGGCAGAATGGGAGGAAAGAGAGCTGAGCTTAAAAGCTGTGAGCATCAGACATCTGAAAGAGTCAGACTATTTCTTATAGCCTACAGGTAGAAACCATTTTTCCATTTTCCACTAGTTTGAAGAATGTATTCCACCACCTATCCTCTGTGTATGCATGTGTGCCAATTGACTGAAAGCAGATGTCTGCTTATTTTCTACCTTAAACTTCCCTCTAGGCCTCATTACCTGTGCATAACCAGGTACTGCCTTCCATTGAAAGTGTGGATGGTTCTGACCCTTTGGCAACTCTGCAGAATCCAATAGCTAGACTGGAGGCAAAAGAAGAAGAGGAGGAGGAGGAGGAGGAGGATACTGAAGAAGAGGAGGAAGAAGATGGTGAAGACACTGATTTGGATGACTGGGAGCCAGACCCACCCCGGCCCTTTGACCCCCACGACTTGTGTAAGTGCAGTCACTGGACTCTCAAAGGAAGCCACATGCTCTTTTTCATGAGTGTGTGTGAATGTGAACATGGCTCATTTACACTGAATCCTTCCCACATCCCACACATTGTGTCACATGCTCTGTGTGCATCATCCCACTTCATCTTCACAGCAGCCCTGGGAAGGAGTCATGACACTTGTATTTGTTTTCCAATTTTCCTGATGAGGAAAAAAGCCCCAAAGAGGTTAGGCAACTGCTCTGGGTGACGTGGCTGATGAGGCATCTGAGTCTGGTCACTCTTGATACCAGCCTTCTATTGTAGTTGACCTAGTCCAGGACTATTCAGCCATATCAGTTCTAACAAGTTTGCTTTGTCACTTTCTTCACAAGAAGAGCTTCCCAGCCAGGTGCAGTGGTACACATCTGTAATTCCAGTGGCTCAGAATGCTGAGACAAGAGGATCATAAGTTCAAGGCTAGCCTCAACAATTTAGGAAGACCCTCAGCAATTTAGCAAGATCCTCAGCAATTAAGTGAGACCTTGTCTCAAAATAAAAAGGGCTGGGAGTGAAGCTCAGGGGTAAAGTATTCCTGGGTTCAATCCCTCGTACTAAAAAAACAAAACAAAACAAAAAAATTAAGAGTTTCCATTACCAAATCATTGTTTTATCTGTGGATCTTCACGCACATATAGCAAAGTTATGACCTCGTTCATTTGAGTGAATGAGATTGTTCAGAGCTTTGTGGCCTTACACTACCTCTCCTGGGCCATCCATGTGGTGCTGGTAAGCTCTCTCTCTAGGGGGCCAGTGTTTAGCCCTGTACTTAATTATTACCCAACAGAAAATTTACTTGTTTAATTTTCCCTTGAACTCACAAGTTTTCAGGGGAACTCCTAAGTCAAATGCGCAGAAAGCCACTTTACTAATAAATATTAATACAAAGTTGTTCTCCATTATTTGAGAATTATAGGAATTAAAAATATCTAAACCAGATTACCACATTGCTGAAGGAGGTGAAATGGTGAAACATGAATGTGAATACTGTATGGTCCAGCCACTGTTCCCCTGCTTTATGGTGATGCACATCTTATTCTGGTGGATAATGTATACATGGATGCTACTGGCAAACAAGAAATGTGACTGGCTTGGTGCTGAGTTTTTTAGAATGAGCTAGAAATGCATGCATTTTACCTGAGAGTAAAATGATGTCAAGAAACTTGACTATTCTTCAAGGTTTTTTTCTTTTGCAGGGTGTGAGGAATGTAATAATGCCCATTCTTCAGTGTGCCCCAAGCATGGCCCCTTGCATCCCATCCCCAATCGGCCTGTGCTCACTCGGGCAAGAGCGAGTCTCCCCCTGGTCCTCTACATAGACAGGTTCCTTGGAGGAGTGTTTTCAAAAAGGCGTATTCCCAAGCGTACCCAGTTTGGCCCTGTGGAGGGACCCCTTGTCAGGGGGTCTGAACTGAAAGACTGTTACATTCATCTAAAGGTAATTTATACTTTTTCCTATTTCACTCCTTTCTTTAACAGTTTTTCAAGGGGCATTCATTTCTTTTGCTGAGTTTTTTGTTTTCATTTCATAACAGTTATTTGCTAGTATTTTTCTTTTTATGCTTAATTTTAAATGGAAACATTACTCCCCGCCCCAATAAAATGGAGGTCATAATTTTAGACCCCTGTGAATAATTCTGAGAAGTGTGGTTTTTAGGGTCTGTAGTAATATGCTAGAACTGACATAATAAAATGCTATAGACTGGGAGGCTTCAGCAATGGAAATTTCTTTTTTCACAGCTCTGGAGTAGAAATCTAACATTAATGTGTTGGCAGGTTTCTCCTTGACCTGCACATGACCGTCTTCTTACTGTGCACTTACAGGGTCTTTCCTCTGTACTTATGTGCGTCTTTTCTAATCTCCTCTTATTAAATGGACCAGTCATATTAGATTAGGGTGTACTCTAATTATGTTATGTTCACTTCATTACCTCTTTAAAGGTTCTATCTCCAAATGCAGTCACATTCTGAAGTACTGGGGGTTTACAGGGTCCCCACATGACTTAGAGGTTGAGGGACACAACTTCCTTTCTTTTTTTAAAATGAACTTTGGAATGTGGCTGGGCATGGTGGTATACACATGTGATCCCAGCAACTAGGGAAGCTGAGGCAGGAGGATCTCAAGTTGGAGGATAGACTGGGCAACTTAGCAAAATCCTGCCTCAAAATAAAAAAATATAAAAAAAGCGTGCTGAGATATAGTTCAGTGTTATAGTGCCCCTGGGTTCAATCTCTAGTACCACAAACAAAGGAAAACAAAAACAAAGTTCTTTGGATACTTTTTTTTTTTTTTTTTTTTTTTTTGATGCTGGGGATGGAACCCAGGCCCTGTGCATGCAAGGTAAGTACTCTATCAACTGAGGGATATCCCCAGCCCCCAAACACAGTACTTTGGAATACAGAAAATTACATTGATGTATGTAATCTGCTGTGTGCCATTAATGTTTTCAAAATACCCCACTTTTCAATATTAAAACAGGTTCGGTTTGAATTTTTTCTGTTAAATAATTGTTCACTGGGGCTAGGCTGTTACTTAGTAGTAGAGCTCTTACCTAGCATGTGCAAAACCCTGGGTTTGATCCCCAGCACTGCAAAAACAAAAACAAAAACAAACAAGAAACCTACCCCAAAACAACAAAAAATAAGTTTGCTGTATGTTGAAGAATATTTATTTTGATCTGCATTCTTTACTTTTAATGATTTTGCTTCTATCCAACCCTCTTTACTATCTGCTGTTTTGAATAGCTACTCTGAAGCACTAAGAAAGGGCAGTAAGAAGGAGAGAATATCTGAAATGTATTTTGGAGAAATTAGCTGCTGTTGTAGAGAGGATTTCTTTTAAACTAATGCTCAAGATCTCCAAGCAAGAATATTACCTGTCTTTGGGCTGAATATTATAAATGGATACAGTTGAATCTCCAAATGATGCAAATTATAATGAAGTGGAGAGTATTATGCTTGATTTTTATTTACAGCATTTTTGGTTGTGCTAGTTTTGTGAGATATTAACTAAAGCTATATAGTTTTATGGTGAACTTTTAGATTTTGCCATGTAATTCTCCTATAGGTAAGAGTGGTTTCAGGAAGTATCCTTTCTTTCTCTTTATGTTTGGTAAGTCACAATTCTAGTATCTTTCTAGATACAAAGGGAAGATATATGGTTAATTTAAGGAGAAATATTTTGTATATTATTGCTAATAGTATTGTTTTTTTGGTGTGGGTCTTTACCTTTTCTTTGGTTGCAGGTTTCTCTTGATAAAGGGGACAGAAAAGACAGGGATTTGCATGAAGACCTATGGTTTGAGTTGTCTGATGAGACCCTGTGTAACTGGATGATGTTTGTACGTCCAGCCCAAAACCACCTGGAGCAGAACCTGGTGGCTTACCAATATGGCCACCATGTATATTATACAACGATAAAGAATGTGGAACCCAAGCAGGAACTGAAGGTATAGTGCTGGATCTGGAGGGCTCTCTGCTAAAAAAGAACATATCCTAATTTTTTCCTTCTAGTAAGTATGATTCTTACTAAAATGGTTCTTTACTGGTAATTTATTTACCTCTGGAGCCATCCCTAGGGGAAATTGGTTCCGGGTTTCCCCTAAGATCCTTATGTAAAATGGTGTAATATTTGCATAAAACTTACGCATTCTCCCATGTATTTTAAATTATTTCTAGATTATTTATAGTACCTAATAAAATGTAAGTGCTATATAAATGTTTTTATACTGTATTGTTTAGGGACTAATGACAAGAAAAACTCTGTATATTAAGTACAGATGTAATTTTTTTGGACAGTATTTTCGATCAGCAGTTGGGGGAATCCATGGATATAGAGGGCCGACTGTACTATGTACTACAGATCGGTAATAATCTTGTAAATAAAACAATGAGAAGTAGATGGGCTCTGTTCTCATCAAGAGCCTACAGAAAGGCATTAGGTCTGGGGATAAGAAAGTGATTTTATGGGGAGCTGACTTGATATTTGTGAGGGGGGAATTAAAGATAGTATCACTTAATGTCATTTATACATAACTAAAGAAGAATTTGTTGTGAAATGTGGGATTTTATAAAATAAAATTCAGATGGATAGGCAAGATTCCTTTTCTTTATCTGAATACTTCATTTTATTCAAAGAATTCTTTGACTTCTGATTTCAGAAATATGTATTTTTGGGGTAACCCTGTTAGAATTTGTCTAAATATTGACTTTTGATGACATAATGAAATTTTGGTATGATTCCCAAAGAAAAATTCTTTTTTTTTTTTAATTTTCTATGCTACTAGAGATAGAACCCAGGGCTTTACACATTAGGCAAGTGCTTGATCAATAAGCAACTCTTCCTGCCCAAGATTCCTTCCTTCCTTCTTTAGCATATATTAGGAACATGGACAAAAGAGGGGGGCCAAAGTACTCTTTAACTTCCTGAGGTAAATAACAAAAATAGATGAGAAATGATTATATCAGTACATGAACACTGAATTGCATAGTGTGTCAATGTTAGAAACTGATTGCTCCTCTTTAGTGGGAGAACAAAGTCCTGGATTTTATTCGAAAGGTGCAAAACCTCTGTCTTGGAAACCATCAGCTAGATAATCCACCAGCCATGAAGAAAATATGTAAAAAGAATGTCAAAGGAGATTAACATCTCATGCCATCTATTCCAGTGCTGCACCACTGAACTAACTTACTCTAGCTCTGTTTTCTCTTGTAAAAAAGTAAGTGTAACTGTAGAGGTTAAGATGAATAGAAATAATTAAATAGGAATTTAATAGTTGAGTATAATAAAACAACCAAAACAACAGATAGAAGGAATGAGAAAATGGGGAAGTATTTGTAATACAGGGTAAAAGATTTTAAGTATGTTGACTGAGACAAAGAGTTGTATACCTTCAACTTAACTACATCCAGATGGACAAATGAACAAATACCAAGAATAGACTCTATTTAAAAAAGGAAAAGAAATGTTAAAAAAAAAATTTAACCCTTAATCCAGGTGTGGTGGTGCATGCCTGTAATCCTAGTGACTTAAGAAGCTGAGGCAGGAGGACTGAAAGTTTGAGATAAGCCTGGGCAACATAATGAGATTCTATTTCAAAATAATAAGGAAAGGTGCTGGAAATGTAGCTTAGTGGTAAAGTTCATTCCCCAATAGAGCATGAGGGTTTGGTGCAGCTGGGGTTATAGCTCAAAGGTGGAGTGAGCATGTATGAGACCCTGGGTTCCATATCCAGAATGGACAAAAGAGAAAAGAAAAAAAATATCCCCAATTAAACTATTTTAAATGCTTAAACTTTTATTTATCTATGTGTGTGTGTGTATTTAAAACTAAAATGATTTATAATGTAGAACTTGAAAACGACAGTTTGCAAATTCATTATCACTTAAAGGAAATCAATGTGCTAAGCTTTGAGAAATGAGATGTTCCAAAATATACACCAAAAATTTAAAAACGGAATTAAATTAAAACATGAAATGTTATCTAATGTAATGCAGATCAGGGGATCAAAGATGAAGGTCACACATTATTAAAAAGAAATCCAACCAAGGACATCTGTGTCATGATCTCTCATTAGTGTCACAACGGTGCCTCTCTTTTGGTGGACTTGAACATTTTGGCAGACATTCAATCAGCTTTAAAAACAAAACAAAACAAAACAAAAAAAACAGTCTTTACATGGCTACTATTGTTCTTCCCACCATCTTCCAGCTTGTTTTCTGCTGCTATTTCTCTCAGCCGTATTCTCCTTTTGTTCATAATGGGGATCCCAAGCACCCAGAATTGGCCTTATACCCACCGCTGCTGGTCCAGCCACTCACCCTGCCTGCATTTTTTAAATTGATAAACATGGTTACTTTATACTTATCAAAAGAGCTATTTTAGATTTAATTAGAAATAATTTTTAAATCATATCATCCTTGTGCATGCATGAAAATGCATACTTAGGTAAAAAGTTAAGATATAAAACTGCTTTTTATGCATTGTCAATTTTTCCCCTTTCAATCACTGGTTTACATCATGATGTCTGTGATTTTGAGGGGCAGTACTGGGGATTGAACTCCGGGCTTCTTGCATCTGAGGTAAATGCTCTTCCACTGACCTACCTCCCCAGCCCTTTTTGTATTTTTATTTTGAAACAAGGTCTCACTAAGTCACATAGGCTGGCCTCAAACTTGTAATCCTCCTAAGTACCTGGGATTATAAGTATAGGCCTCATGTTTTTGCTTTTCTGTCTTCTGCCATCTTCTGTTCCATTTAGATGATATTGATGATATATTTTTTTTGTGTGTGTGGTACTTATGCATGCTGTGAAAATGCTCTACCCCTGAGCCACATCCCCAGTCCTTATTATTGTTATATGTATATTTCCAGTCCTTGATATTGTTATATGTATATTTACATATATATATTTTGCGCCTGGGATCAAACCCAGGACCTCACATGCGGTAGGATTTTGTTCTACTACTGAGCCATATCCCAACTCCTCACAATCTTTTAAAAATAAATAGTCCAGGGGACGTTGCTCAGTAGTAGAGTGCTTACCTAGCATGTGTCAGGCACTGGGTTCAATCCTCAGCACCACATCAAAATAAAAAAAAATAAAGGTAGTAAAAAAAATAAATATTCCACCATTGCCTCTGGGATCTTGTTCCATACCACGTAACTTTTTGTATGCATGGTGGTTGGAATTGGGCCTGACACTTGTGCTATACTACTGAGCCATACCCCTATCAAGTTTGAATATTGTGCTTTCACATTCATTTGAATTCATCTGTGTCTTTTTCCTAAATTGAATCACGGGCCCTTGGAAGCGAAGTGTTTTTTGATCAAGTCAGTAGGAAGTTTCTGACAGTTCTGACTGAAGCCTTAATGAGAGGCCTGTAGAATGCTAACCAGTCTCTTAACCACTTTGAAATTTTTTCTTATTCTGAGGGAAATGGCAGTTTTTTTGGCCTTCATTTGCAGTGCTTGGCAGGTGTCAACAAGTCATGGAACCCAAAGGGGGCTTATAACTGAATGAGGTAAGAACAGTGCAGAGAGCTGGGCCAGACTTGTGCAGGAGTGTTGTGCAGGTTCTGAGTGCTGCATCATGGCAGCAATTGTAGGGTGCCAGCCAGAGTGGGAGATGCTTTCTGATTTCTGAGGTGTTAAATATGAAAAAAGGTACATCTTGGAATTGATGGATTAGTGTGTGTTTGTAATAGCAAAATATAAACCACCTAAAAGTACAACCATAGGGGCACAGTTGAGTCAATTATGGAATACAGATTCTACATAATATTACTCCACCATTCAAAATGAAATCTGCCTTTATAAATATTCCCTTATATTTAAATTAATGTTCTATAAAAGTTACATATGATTAAGTCATTTAGTGATTAATAAGTTGAAATCCTACTGTGTTTCAGACAGTAGGAAAAAAACAAGCTTGTTTCCCTGTGTTCAGGGAACTTGCATTCTAGGGGGGAAGTGGACGGAAAGATGTAAACAAACAAAAAATATCCAATAAGAGTTAAGTTTCATGGTGCAGAAAGAGCAAATAACGGGAAAGGGACCAATTTAGATGTGCTTCATAGAAAAAGCCTTGCTTAAGAGGTGATAGGCTGAGGACTGGGAATGAGAAGAGACCAGTCCTGCAGAGGGTTATAAGAAGAGCAAAGGAGAAGAACCTTGCACTCCAGGGGGTGAGCCAACAAGGGCAAAGGCTTGGATGGGAAGGCACTGGACATGTTTGAGTTGCTGAGTGTAGGCCATCTTGGCCTAAAGGTGGGCAAAGTGATAGGAGCTGAGGTTTCTTAGTAAGATAGAGGAGATCATGGAGCCCTTGGAGGATTAAACATTTCAGGTTTATTATGAAATAAGCCATTTCTGGTAAAACAAATTCAATTGTGTTTTAAGAAGACAATTATTTTAAGAAGACTTTGGCTCCTGTGTGGATTGCAAGGAAAAAAGGGAGGCTAGTTTGAAGGCAAGAGATGGTGGTGGCATGCCTCCAGGTGGAAGAAGCAGAGATGGAGAACACCTGAGGAAGTAACAGTTCTACTGAAGGATTACAGAAGCAAATGGAGAAACCAAAGATACCTTTTAGGTTTTAAGTCTGAGCACTTGGGGGGAAGGTGAGGCAATTGAAATGAGAAGATAGGTAGAGGTGGATATATGAGTTGGGAGGCATCAAGAATTCCATTCTGGGCATGTTAAATTTAAGCTGTTTGTGAAATATCCCAAATATCAGATCAGAAATAGAATACCCTTGGAGTGATCAGAGAAGGGGCATCTGGGATGAAGATATTAATTTGGGAATCATTAGTATAGAGTGGTTAGAAATTGATGTGATCAGTGGAGGGAAAAATAAGGCTCAGGACTTGAATTAAGCTTTGAGGAGCACTAATATTGGGAGGTTAGGTGGAAGAGGAGCCAGCTAAGGTGAGTGAGCAGAAGCAGCCATTGAGGTAGGAGAGAAACAGCTATCATTGGCGTAGGAGAGAAGAGCCCTGGGAGAATGTGGAAGTGTTTGGTACAGTCCCATTTGTGATCACAGTATGAGCTATTTGGTGGCAGCCACTATGATTGCAGCTATATTCAAATCTGTGTTTAAATATAGCTTTATTATTATTATTATTATTATTATTATTATTATTTTACAAATCAGAAGAGGCTGTTTTATCTAGATGAAGAGACTATGAATAAAGTTTTTATGGAGTTATTCTAATTTAAAAAAAAAACACAAAATTTTTAAAAAGGGAAAAAAACCAGGCAGTGTGTCTTGACTTCCTGCCAGATGATCTGCCAGATGGGTGTTGGGGAGCCAGGTTCACAGTGTGATTTTTTTTTTTTAATGGGCTGTGAAAAAGCCTGAATTGTTTCATTTAACAGGAGAAATAATGTAAGCATGCAAAGCACATCTGGTGATGTTCCTTAATTCTTGATGTCCTTGGTTCTTGCAGGTGTGGTATGCTGCATCCTATGCTGAGTTTGTGAACCAGAAAATTCATGACATTTCTGAGGAAGAAAGGAAAGGTGGTTGGACTTTTATATTGTATATTTTCTACATGAATTCTAAGTTGTATATGTTACATCTTCATGCAACCTCTAATTTTTTCATTTCAGTGTATTTCAGAAGATATTCCAGGTTCTTAGAGCTACACACCTCCATCTAACTGTAGGATCAAATAACAATGACATATTTACATTTCTTTCATGGGTGCTAGAAAATAGTATTTAATATAATAAAAACCTGCAAATACTAAATTAGAACCTAGATCAGAGGACAATTCTTATCTGGACTTGAACATCTTTGAGGATATGGTAAAGCAGGCATTCACTTTATCTTTAATGTAAATATTAACTGAAATGCCATCTCTGTATAAAAAGGTAAACAAATTATTATGTATACTGCTTGATGAATTTTTACAGTGAACACATGTAAGTTCCCAAATGTGATTACTCTCTGTGTAAGTTCCCAAATGTGATTCTCTCCTGACTTTCAATACCACACATAAGACTTACTTGTTATTGAATTGCACATAAATAGAATGATATATACACTTTTTGTGTCTGGGCATCTTACTCAGTATTGTGAGGTTCATCCATATTATTGGATATGATTGCAATTTATTAATTTTATTGTTGTTTGATATTCTGTTGTATAAATGTATAACCATTTATTTATCTATTATGCTGTAGATTTGATTGTACAATGCAATTATCGTAGTAACTACCCAGAATTAGGTCAAATTTCACAGGTTAAGGGCACAGTTTTCATTAAGAGTCCCCTCGCTTCAGATATCAGATGCAAGCTCCGTGATTCCCAACCTACCTATACTACTAGCTATAATTTAGGGAGCTCTCTATTGCTCTTCAGGTTTGATAATTAACTAGAATGACTCAATAGAACCTAGGAAAACACTTTATTTAATGATCACAGTTTTTTATAAAGGATATATATATCAGGATTAGCCAAATGAAGAGAACTAGGGTGAGGTCTAGGAGGGTCCCCAATGAAGCTTCTGTGTCCTCTCAGGATATATCATTCTCCTGGCACATTGATGTATCATTGCCAATCATAGAAACTCATTTAAGCTTTGCCTTTCAGAGTTTTTATTGAGGCATTATTATATAGGCATGACTGAATTAGTGGTCATGTGATTGGACTCAGTTTCTAGCTCTCATTCTCCTCTGGGAGGTAGGGCTGGTATTAACTGTTTCAAAGCACCAACCCTTTGTGTGTGTGTGTGTGTGTGTGTGTGTGTGTGTGTGTGTGTGTGTTACTGGGGATTGAAGCCAGGGGTGCTCTACCACTGAGCTCTATCCCAGTCCTTTTTATTTTTTATTTTGAGACAAGGTCTCATTGAGTTGCTCAGACTGGCCTTGAACTTGTGATTTTCTCTTCTTAGCCTCTAAAGTGGTTGGGATTACAGGTGTGTGCCAAGCACCTGGCAAAGCACCAACCTAATCACAAGGTTGAACTTTCTGACACTGCTACCCCTGACTCTGAGTCATCTCCTTAGCATAAACTCAGGTAGGATGAGGGGCCATGATGATAACAAAGGCACTTCTGTCACTCAGGAAATTCCAGCTACTAAGAGCTTTCCTCCCAGGAGCCAGAGACTAAGGTTGGCCAGATTCTTTATCTTATATCAGGATTGTTCGCAGTTTTGGGCTGTTTAAAAAGTGCCTGCTCTGACTGTTTTTGTACATGTCTTTGGTGAACACGTGTGCACATTTCCTTTAGGTGTACATCTAGGGGTGGAATTACAGGGTCCTATGTTATGCATATATTCAGCTTTAGGAGTTACTTCCAAACATTTTACTGAAGTCATTATATTGGGCTTTGATTTTTAAGTTATTTGTGATAAAATATACCCTTAAATTATGAGACTTGGGCGGGACATAGTGGTGCATACCTGTATTTCTGGTGACTCAGAAAGCTGGGGCAGGAGAATCGCACCTTTAAATCTAGCCATCCTGGGCAATTTAGCAAGACCCTCAGCAACTTAGAGATGCTGTTTGAAAATGAAAATAAAAAGGGCTAGAATATAGGTTAGTGGTAAAACTTGCCCCTGGATTCAATCTCCAGTACCATAAAAGAAAAGGAATATTATGAAACTTGGATCTGAATCACTGGATTATCTAAATACAGATCTCCTTACAATGCTTTCTCTCTTTCTGGGTGAAGGGTGTGTGTGTGTAGAATGGTGTGAGTGTGTTGTTCCTTTGATGTCCTGCATGAATGTGTCAGAAAATAAGAGCCTATAACTCACCTCTGTGCCAAATTCTAGTCTTTGATTTTATAACAAGAAAGTCATACAAATAGCAGATACTGTCTGCAGGAAGATAAGAATGGCAGAGATAACAGGCATCTGAGTTTTCCTGGTGTCTGTTGATCATCAGCTTTCATGATTTCTCTCCTGTGACTGTAGTTCTTCGAGAGCAAGAGAAGAATTGGCCCTGCTATGAATGTAACCGCCGGTTTATAAGCTCAGAGCAATTGCAGCAGCATCTCAATTCTCATGATGAGAAATTGGATGTGTTTAGCAGGTATGTATGAGGACAAAGGCTCACAAATCAGGTTTGGAATCATTTTTGTACATAGACTAATGAGTGTGTATGCTTACACAGGTAACCAGTTAGGTAGCTATCGAGGATTGTCTTTCATAACTAACCCCTTCCTTATTAACTATTTATTGCTTTTCTAGCATAACCAATACCCAACAATGGAAAATCCCCTTACTTCAATTAAGTCTCCCTTAACTAGAGATTATGAAATAGGAATCCTTCAGATAGCATTTAAACATCAGGGTAAGGGCATATTGGAGTAAGAGTAAAGACCCAGAGTTCAGTCAGAACTATTGCAACAGTTCAGGTGAGGAAAGAGTGTTCTTTAGATTAGATGGGACTGATGTAGGATTGTCCACTTAAAGGATTTGGAAAGATACAAGATGGTGTGAAACCTCACTTAGGAAAGTGGGAAAGAGAATATTCTAGGGAAGTACTGTACAGTTGCCTGCCACACTGAATGTCCATATGAGGTTCACAGTCATAAAATGAGAGACTACAAGCAAGACTATATGTTGTTTTCAAGCCCCATCTAGCTGCTGCAGTGCAGGCAGGGAACTGGGTTACAAAAAAATGTGGTTTTGCTGAGAGCATCCAACACAGTGACAACAAAGAAGCAGCAACTGGGATGGGGATCAGAGAAAATACAAGGTATTGATTGCAGTGAATGACCTTGGAGGTGTGCTATGGACAAAGGAAGGGTTGGACTGGGGGATGATGGGGGTGGAAGGGTTATTAAAATTGGGTATTGGAGAGAGTGAGCTGGAGAGGTAGGAGATAGTGTGTCAGAATGGGCCTTTGTGGAAACAGGGGCAGTGGGATTATATTGAGGATGACAGGTCTGAGATATGACCTTGGGGATAAATATCTGAAGGTGATGGATGCAATGAGATTCAAGATATTTACTCCTAGGTTTTCCCATTTTTCATGGTTCTATTGTATCATTTTTTATATTATATTAGGATTTTTGACTTACAGGCCTGCTGCCTCCGCTAAATTCTGAGGATAAGATCACCTTTAACTTGATATCTTTAGTGCCAAGCATAGTGTATGACACATAGTAAAGTGTTCACTTTCTATCTGATAAAAGAAATTTGAGACAAATGAGGAAAATCTGAATTTTGACTAGATATAATAATATTGAGCAACTACCTGATTTTTTTTTAGGTGTGATAATGGAATTGTGTGTGTTTAGAATTTTCCATACTTAAGAGTGAGTAGAGAGCATGTGACTGTAGTTCCCGCTACCTGGCAGACTAAGGCAGGAATTTGAGCTCAGGAATTTGAGACTAGCCTGGGCAACATTGAAAAAAAAAAAAAGAAAAGAAAAACTTTGTTAAATAGCTAGGTAGAAGAGTTTGATATGATGGGTATTCACAAAATATCTAAAAGATGTTTTGTGATGTACTTTTGAAATATCTTAATAAGGAATTTTTGTATGTTAGTCATTCATTAAAGGAGGTAAAATTTATTCAGTATCTTAGCCAAACTATGGAACCAAAGTAGGTGTTCATCAATGGATGAATGGATAAAGAAAATGGGTATATGTACACAATGGAGTTTTATTCAGCCATAAAGAATAATGAAATTCTTAGTTGCAGGAAAAAGGATGAAACTTGAGAACATTATGTTAAGCAAAATAAACCAAACTTAGAAGGTCAAGGGTCATATACTTTCTCTCATGTGGAAGCTGGAGAGGAAAAACGAAAGGTGGGAGGGATCTCATGAAAATGGAAGGGCAATCAGTAGGGGGAAGGGACCAAGGAAAGGAAGGATAGGAGGGAAAGGGGAAATACTGGAGAATGATATTGGCCAAATTATATTATATTGTGTGCATGAATGAATATGTCACACAGATCCCACCATTATATGCAACTATAATGCATTAATTTAAAAAATGTGGAAACAAAAGGGTTGTGCCAGTTACAATGTCAACAGCAAGATAAAATAAAATAAAACAATTTAGTGTTTGGAATAGTTGAATTAGAAATTTGTACTAACCCTCCTGAAGATTTTGGTAAAACAAAATACTTTGCATTTAGCCACATTTTGTGGAAGAAATCTTGAACTGAGGTTAAGAGAGGAAGGCTGGAATCTTGTCTAAGATAGTGTGTCCTCAAAACACACTAGGCTTAGCATGTTCTGTCTGCATTTCTCACCTCCTTTCAGAAGCAAAATGTTGTCAGCACTTTGTGTTTACATAGCTCTTTTTTTTTTTTTTTTTTTTTTTTTTTAAAGAGAGAGTGAGAGAGAGGGGGGGACAGAGAGAGAGAATTTTAACATTTATTTATTTTTTCTTAGTTCTCGGCGGACACAACATCTTTGTTGGTATGTGGTGCAGAGGATCGAACCCGGGCCGCACGCATGCCAGGCGAGCGCGCTACCGCTTGAGCCACATCCCCAGCCCTACATAGCTCTTTTTTTCCCCCAGAATAATTTGAAGACACCTCTTTGTGCTTTAGAGAGGGCAAAGATAAGAACTTTAGAAAGTGTTTCCATTAGAGAAAAGAATCAGGGAAATTAATCAAGTGAGGGGAATTCAAAATCTGGGGTTAGTACAGACCATTTAGGGAAACATTTTATGGAGTATGGTGTAACTATAACTATCCGTAACCCAATCTTTTGTCCCCAGAACAAGAGGCAGAGGGAGGGGACGAGGCAAGAGACGATTTGGTCCAGGTCGAAGGCCAGGGCGTCCTCCAAAATTTATCCGCTTGGAAATAACCAGTGAAAATGGAGAGAAAAGTGATGATGGGACACAGGTACTGGGAATTGGGAAAGAACTCCTTCTTAGATGCTTGTTTAGATAACTTTCAGAACTCTGGCTGGATTTAAACATAAGCACCTTTCAGATGTTAATAGTCCTGTCAAAGAATCAGAGCTTTGCTGCTTGTTAACTTAAGTGGGATTGGAGAAGGGCAGAAAGCATGTATTTTCAAGTGTTATTCACAATTATTCACAGTTATTCAAAAACTCAACTTTGCTGCCCCCCAAAATTTGAAATTGGCCAGAGATTTAAAGAGGCAATTTTGTTTTATTAATTTAAACCATTACAAAATTTGATATTTGTGAAGGTTCATATCATGATCCTCCCCATTCAGTGGTCTGAAATATCTCGTGATTTTTGTATTTTGTGTGTATTTAATTAATTTTCCTGGAGGGAGAGTATTTTTTTTTTCTCTGAGTATTATGAATCTGGTCATTTAAAAATAAGCAATAGCTGGGCACAGTGGCTAGCTACTTGAGAGGCTGAGTGGGGAGGATCACTTGAGTACAGGATTTCGGGCCCTGCCCAGGTAATATAGCAAGCCGCTGTCTCTTAAGAAAAATTTTTTAAAAAGCAGCAATTCTAAATCTGAGCTGGTAGTCCTTCTAGCACTGATCTCTATCTAGGTAAGTATATAATTCTTGGTTATTGCAATTTCAGGACTTGCTACATTTTCCCACAAAGGAGCAGTTTGATGAGGCTGAACCAGCTACTCTGAATGGGCTGGATCAACCAGAACAGACCACTATCCCAATCCCTCAGCTGCCACAGGAAACTCAGTCGTCTCTGGAACAAGAACCAGAAACTCACACCCTTCACCTACAGCCACAGCATGAAGAGAGCGTGGTACCCACCCAGAGCACTTTGACCGCAGATGACATGCGCAGGGCCAAACGCATCCGAGTAAGTGGGATGCTCATTCTTACAGCTGGTCTCCTTTTCCCCCTCAACGCTTGGTGTTCCAGCCTGTTCACCATCCACTTTGAAATCTTGTATCTAGCCTATCACATACTTGCAAGAAAGTTCTCTTTCTTAATGTTTCTGTATTCTATGGCAGGCTGGCATGGCTGGTCCTAGATTTTATCAGCCTGGATTTTGGCAGCTCCTGGATTAGTATAGTGAAAATAAGATAGCTCTTCACATCTCAAAGTTCATAGATTAGAAATGGAGAAATAAGTATACTTAATTATAATTATTATATATATTTTTTCTTTTATTTCTTTTTGGTGCTAGGGATGGAACTGGGGCTTCCTGCATGCTAGGCAAGCACTATTCCACTGAGCTACATCCCTAGCCCTAATTATTTATGTTAATTATTTTAAGCCAGGCTTGTCTGTTTCTAATCATAGCTCTCAAGTTAATTGTGGGTAACTAAAGTTGGTTATCTACTATTTCCAAGGGGAGACTGGCAAGTGTCACTACTATTTGTCAATGCAAAGGGAACTGTGTCCAAGTTGATATGACAGGTATAGTCCACACACTTGGGACAGCATGAAGTAAAGTTGTATGTCAGGAGCTAACTAACATCTCACTTATGTGACCTGTGTCTTGGCCTTAGATCATGAGACTACAGGGCTTCCATGATTTCCAGTTAAGATGTGTGTTTCTCTTACTATTTCACAGTCAGCATTTGAGTCTCAGTAACTGCAGGGATTGCATTGTAGAAAACAGTATGGTTTTGTGTGATGTCTATGCAGACAAAAAGCAATGACATAAAACCCATGTTTGTGGCCAGCTGAAGACTTTGATTTGTACTTGACTTTAGATGAAAAAGATTTTTTACACAACTTCCCAGGCTTTACAAATTTTAAATGGATGATTGGTTTAGATTATGTTTCTTTTGGTCTTTTTTTTTTTTTTTTAAAGATGATAAGTTAGACTGTATTCAGAGGGTCCATGGTAGTACGTACAGATAACATTGCGAAGGGATCTTGCTGTGGGTAAGAGAAATTGGGTTCAGCTACCTCTTTTGGTTTTCTTATTTGCCTATAGGCTAGAAGGGACCTTGAAAAATAGTCCAGGCCTTCATGTAAAAATACTTTTAAACGTTCATAGGTACATGACAGCTTTGAGGGGCTCTTAAGAACTCTTTATCTCAGTACCCTTTATGAGGGTCCTATAAACTGAAACACATACAACTGTGGCTCAGTGTGTATTACTTCAAAAGGATCGATAAACATGTAAATATAGGCCAGAAAAACAAAAAGCTATGAATATCTTCTCATCCATTGTTCTACTTTATTTCCCAATCTTTACTTTTTTCTCTTTTCAATTACTATCTTTTCTGCTTTGGCTATTCTGATATTTTACTAAGTCCAGAGAAATGCTTGCTAGATTTCATTTTATTTTTTCTTTGAAGGAAAAAACTTTAAGCTTACACATGTAGTGAAGCTGTAGATGTATAAGCATAGTCTATTCTGTACTTGTTCTTGAAGAAGTTGGGATACTGGTTCTATATAAGTTTCCTTGTGTCACAACAAAAGCCACAGGCATGTGGCTTTTAGAAGTCAGTCTTAGTTGACCTATCTTGTTTTTTCCTCTTACATATTCTAAAAAGCAGGGCTATGTATTTTTTCATCTTTTTTATCCAGATTGGTAATGACCAACTGAAGGGAAGTCTTCCAATCCAATTGGTAATGTAACTATTTTTCTCTCCTCTAATGCTGCCTGCTCAGTTGGAGCTGCAGGTAGGTTTGTTTCCTGTGTTTCACATAACAGAATGTTATTTAAGTGTTTGCCTGACCTGCTGTTCATTGCAACCTTTATTTACTAAATCCTGATGAAAAGCACAATTTGGTTGCTCCAATAAATGCATATTAATGAATAATTATAATTCATTTGCAAATAGATTAATGAGTAAATTATGGGCTGCATATTCTTCCTGTATGAAATGGAGGTTAGGACTAAGTGATCTCCAAGGTCCCTTCCAGCTCTAAAATAATTTGAATTACTTATGGAGTGGTACTGAGTTCTAATTGTCTAGGTATCTGACAGAACTTTCCCTTGAGCTCTGTATCTAGGAGCTGACAGTCTAAAAATAGCATTAGATTGTTTACAGTTATATGTGAAATGTAAAAGTACAGCTTATAATTGCTCTAGGAACTTGGAGGAGTGAAAGACTAAAGAAAGGTGGAGGAGGCAGGGAATTATTAATAAATGAGGGGAGACATAGACTGAGTCCTTGAAACAGAGAGTCTCTTCTAGAAGGTAAATCATCCCAGAGGAGGGGAGCCATCAAATTAGAATCCCAGACACAGGGATGTGCTTGGTATAGTTATAGGACAGTGCAAACAGTAGCTTGACCCTAGAGTAGGTGGTAAGTGAAGGATAGTGGAGAATGAGGTATATTCAGCAAGTCTAGTCCACCAAAGGCTTTAAAATCCAAAAATAGTCCAAGGAAAAGTTGTTAAAAACAAACAACCAAGAAACAAGCATGATGATTTTATTTCTTTTTAGGCTCAGGATTAAAATAGTACAAAAATTGGTCAATAATGTAGATTCCTTTAGCTTTTTTTGTTTGTTTCTGGAAATTGAACCTAGGGGTGCTTACCAACTGAGCCACATCCGTAGCCACCCCCTCTTTTTTTGGGGGGTGCTGGGGATTGAACCCAGATCCTTGTGCATGTGAGGCAAGCACTCTACCAACTGAGCTATATCCTCAGCACCTAGCCTTTTTTTAAATTTTGAGACAGGGTCTCACTAAGTTGCTGATGGCTTCACTAAATTGTTGAGATTGGCTTTGAGCTTGTAATCTTCCTGCCTCAGCCTCTGGAACCACTGGAATTACAGGGCTGTGCCACCATACCAGACACTCCATTAGCTATTAATATCAAACTTTAGGAACATTTTAGAAACAAAGAATCTTGTATCAGAATTCATTGCAATGTGATTCACAGAACTTAACAAAAATAGTGTTTTGGCATCCTTAGAGCAGCAGATGTGCCATACATTGTGATGTGGTTGACTGACAGGTGCTCAGGGATCAGAAGATCCTGATACATCTCTGTGCTGCCTCTTCAGTTGCCATGATTTCTTCTAGAAAGTGGACCAGTTGTGGCTCTACACTATAGAAGTTAACTTAGAGCAGAGCTGGCCTGCAAGTGGGTCAAAGGATGGGAAATGTTTCAGCACTTTTACTACCTTGTAATATGGGGATCACATAAGTATCATTAGCTCAGAGAAATACAGGCTAGTTCTTGAGTATTTAGACAGTGTTCTGGGCTCCATGGAAATCAAAGGGATGATAAGAGTTGTCAATAGAGCTAAGGAAGTGGAGTCAAGAGGCTGCTCAGTTTAAATCAAGTGTCTGAAGGTATTCATGCTAATCAGAAATGACAGAAGACTGATTAGCATAATGGACCAAAGCAAAACTTAGCTCTGGATTTGGCACCCAAGGAGAAATGGAATCCTCAGTGGGACCATTGTCAACTGTTGTGCATTGTGTCTGTCCTTGGAAACTTGACCAAAGTTGGATAAAGGAAATTATTCTTCCATGGCAGACATGCTCTAAATCTTGAATCTTCTCTCAACCTAAGAATAGCATCTGTTTTATATGGCATCTTTCCATAAAGTTTTGAAAGTAGAGAAAATAGTAAGAACTTTTATGTAATGTAAAAATGTGTCCAGATAGAGTAAAAAGATGAGGTGACAGCTAAGCATTATGAGGAAGTGAAAGCAAGCTCTGTGGCTGATTTGAAAAGGTCTGTTTGTAAAGATCTTCATGGATACTGTAGAAAAAACTAGAAATAATTTTTTGAGTTTTATTTGAAATATATTTTATTAATTTTCAAACTACTATTGGATGTATCCTATGAGCTAAGCTAATCCTTTAATAAATGAATAAAATATGATGTCCTCCCCCTCCCCTTAGCAGCCCCAGTCTGCTTGGAAAGACAGCAGAATTGCTGTTTACCTACTCAAGATAAATGAGTAGGTAGCATCTTTAAACATCTCTCCTAACCCTATTAGAGAAAGCTAGAGAAGGCAATTTTCTGTTATATGGAATGAAGTATGTTTAGAAATTTTAATAAATTAAATATAAATATTTTGCTTTCCTCCCAAATGATTATTTCACATTAATGTAGAAGTTGCTAATAAGTAATTAAGAGTTAAAGTAGTGTTCACTGTAATTTCTTCATAGCACAAAGATCTCATTAATCCTTCAATTACTACTCCTTTATAGCTAACAGACATACTCACTCAACAGGTGTACTTTTTGAGGGATTTTTCTCCCGTATAGCTATCTACAGCTTTCCATTAGTGTTTTTGAGGAACTGACGAATGAGTCTTCATAATAGCACAACTAAATATTCTGTACTCTCTGGGTGGAAGATGATTCTGTAGATCTGCTCCCAGTGGAGCATGGATGTTTCTCTAGCAATCGTGATGGATTTGCTCTGAATATCCATCTTCTCTTATTTGAATCCCCTGTAACAACTGCATGAGTTTACAAGATGGCTAATCAGCATTAGAAGTGCAATCTGTGACTGCCAAAGGCGGGGGTGGGTGGGTAAGAGAGGGAGGAGGAGAAATTGCCCTAGTTAGAAACACAGCAATAAGTTTAACTTTGTTAGCATGGCATTCTAACCAGTAGACCTAACTGGCTACCCCAGGAATTTGTCCTCTGCATTTTCTAAGAAGGAAGTAATGCAATGCATATATTCTATTTATGACGTGTCCTTACGTATCATGCCTCATGAACAAACACATCCACATAGATCTGAATTCTTCATCCCCCTTTCAGTTCTTTCTTTTTAAATTGAGATCTGACATTACATAGCATAAAATTCACTGTGTGTCTGTGTATGTGTGTGTATATACATTCATACACATATATATAAATTTTTATGTATGTATGTATACATACATGTATGTGTATGTGTGTGTGTGTATATATTTTTTAAAAAACATATATATTTTTTTTGTGCTGGGGCTAAAACCTAGGGCCTCTCATATAATAGACAAATACTCTACCACTGAGTTATGCTTTCAGCCTTAAAATCCTCTCTTTTATTATTTTATATTATTACTATTTTTTTTCTTTAGGGGTATTTAACCTAGTGGTACTCTTCAACAGAGCTACATATCCAACCCTTTTTGCTTTATTTATTTTTGGGTGGGGGGGGTTGAACTCAGGAGCACTCAACCGCTGAGCCACACCCCCAGCTCTCTTTTGTATTTTATTTAGAGACAGTGTCTCACTGAGTTGCTTAGTGCCTCGCTTTGTGAGGCTCACTTTGAACTCATGATCCTTCTGCTTTAGCCTTCCAAGCAGTTTCAATTACAGGTGTTCACCATTGCGCCTAGCTCTTTTTATTTTTATTTTGAGTCAGAGTTTTGTTAAATTGCTGAGACTGGCCTCTAACTTACAAAACTCCTGCCTCAGTCACCCAAAACACTGGAATTACAGGCATGTACCATCGCACCCAGCTAAAATTTACCCTTTTAAAGTAGTTTTTAGAATGTTCCTAAAGCTGTATAGCTATCATCACTATACCTACATCTATCTATCTAGCTATCCTTATCTCTATCAATTTATCTCAAATCATCACTATAATTCCAGATCATTTTTATTACCCAAATCCATTTTCTCCAACTCCTGGTAAGAACTAACTACCCTTTGATTCTTTTTATTATCTTTTTTTTTTTTTTTGCTAGATGTTTTAATTACTCTTCAAATTCTTTCCTATCAAGGGCTTCAGGAAATAATTCTTGACTAATGTGCTACAACCTCATTCATGCATGTGTCATTTACCCCGAGTCCTTTTTTCCAAATATCCAAATTTTGTCTTTTTCCACTCTGGAGTTTATTTTCTTATGCAAGTCTTTGTTGGGAATGCTTTTTTGAATGCCATCTCAATCTTAAAAAAAAAAACAAAACCAAAACCAAAACAACAACAACAGCAACAAAAACACGTATACACAGACATAAACCACAAATTTTTTTCTTTTTAAGATAAACTTTTTTGGGGAGGGATTCATTTTCAGCATTTTCACCAGAAAAATCTTTCTACTGTGAATGTCCTGCAGGGATCATCCTTTGTTTCCCTGTGGAAGTGTGATCCACATACATACCCATTTCCTCACTACATAATTGTATTTGTGTATGTCTTTCAGAATGCAGCTCTTCAGCATCTGTTTATTCGGAAGTCCTTCCGGCCTTTTAAGTGTTTGCAGTGTGGGAAGGCCTTCCGGGAAAAGGACAAACTGGACCAACACTTGCGCTTCCATGGGCGGGAGGGGAATTGCCCATTGACCTGTGATCTCTGTAACAAGGGCTTCATCAGCAGCGCCTCCTTGGAGAGCCACATGAAGCTCCATTCGGACCAGAAGACTTACTCTTGCATTTTTTGCCCAGAATCCTTTGACCGCCTTGATTTGTTGAAAGATCATGTGGCCATTCATATTAATGATGGCTACTTCACCTGCCCAACTTGTAAGAAACGGTTCCCAGATTTTATCCAGGTGAGTGTCTGCTACTGAGATTTATGTCTGCTTCCTTCTTTTGGTAAAAGAAACTGATTTTTTTTAAATGCCTAGTACCTGCATTTTCATAATTTCTTTGAAACAGCTTTATAATTGAGAACAATATTTTTTTAAACTACTTTTGATAAACAAGAGTATTATAACAATTATTCAGATCAGTCATTGGTATTTAAACATTCAAGTCATATTGCAAGTAAAAAACACCCAGATCTGGTTATAATTTTTAAAATGTCTATTGTAACCTTGTTAATATCCATTTCTCATATATTACAGAGAATCTATAAAAGATATACTCCCATTTCCTGGAAGCATCTTCCTACATTGTGGTTTCTTATCTTACTTTATAAGGTTATGCATTTTGGAAGGGAAATAAGAGAAAATATGTTAGTATTTAATAATTTTTTTCAAGCACTGACTGCTTCCCTGTAGTATATATTGTCTGTTGGAACAAAATAGGTGAAGATAAATCCCAAAATATTCATTATTCCATTTGGACTTTAAATGTTTATATTTTTATATGCTAGTCATATAAAAACTTGTAAAATAATTAAATAACTTGTAAAAATACACTTAATGAAATTTCCAAAGCACAAGTAGACTAGGATTTAATTACAGTTCTACTAGTGTTTAGTCTTGGAAATTTTCATACTTCACATGAACAATTATAAAGTTTGCAAGGCAGAATTGAAACTCCAAAAATAATGAAGCAAAATGTCTTATAGGAATAGTTTCATCTGACTCACGACTTAGTTATACCCATAGTTCTTTCTCATGTGATTTTGATGGCTGTAAGTTCAGAAGCTATATTCTTTTTTGGGGGGTGAGGGTATGCTGGGAATTGAATTGAAGATGAAGCTATATTCTTTAATTAAAGTTATCTAAAAGCAAAGAGAATAAGTCCAAATTTAGGAGAAATGACCCCAATGTTGTAATCATATATAGGTAATGTTTTCTTTGTTATCTAATTCATGTATTTAATTTTTCAGAAATTAATATTTTTTTGTTTGTTTGTTTCAGTGCTTGGGGCCTCATACATGCTAGGCAAGTGCTCCACCATTTGAACTATATATCCCCAGCCCTACCCAGAACCTGATTTATAGGGAGATGTAAAAGGATCATTTACTAAAAGGGGCTAAATTGCTTCAATATGTGTAGAAGGCAGAAAAAAAATGAGGAAGAATTATTTTTTGTCTTCTCATAGATTATATTAGTAAGATTTAATCAAACCTAAAGAAACCCTGCTTAGTCTTAAAAAAAGAAAAAGAACATGGGCAACATTTTGTTCTACTCTTCAGGTCACCTGGGAGGTTAAGACTTGAAAGGTTTTCTGGCTTCTTGTTTTGTTTCTTTGTGACAGGGACAGTATGTGGTATTGAGGCCAATTATCACATCTGATTGGAAGTCATGGCCTGGTTGATGAAATCCATGGTAATGCTTTGGCTCCCTCTAGCGTTGATAGCTACCTTTGGTCATTTCTTTTGGTGTTCAGAGTCCCTGAGTTTTCCCGGTTTTTACTGCCAGGTGAAAAAACATGTGCGCAGCTTCCACTCAGAAAAGATCTACCAGTGTACAGAGTGTGACAAAGCCTTCTGCCGCCCTGACAAACTGCGACTCCACATGCTCCGGCATTCAGACCGAAAAGATTTCCTATGTTCTACCTGTGGGAAGCAGTTTAAGGTATGAAGCCAACAAACAGTTTGAAGTGTGGTACTCACAGGCAATGGAATTATGTTAAGCTAAGGATACAAGCCTGTAGCTAAGGGGTGAGGATATTGCTCCATGATGGAATGCTTGCCTAGCATATGTGAGGCCCTGAGTTCTATCTCTAGTACTGCAAAAAAAAAAAAGCCTATTAATTTCACCAGTTTACCACTCACTTTTGAAATACTGGGCTTGGGATGAATTTTGGGCTTCATGTTTGACTTAGTTGTTTATAATATTGAAGGTCATCACAATTATGTTTGGTAACACACATACAACAAGATATAAGCTTTGAAAAGTACTTTCTCTTTCTCTTCATATCCTATACAAATATACCCTATTTATATTAAGGAAAAAGCTTACCTTTATTTTTTTCAAAATAACTAATTCAAATCCTCAAATAGACTAATAATGCATATCCTGAAAGAATCCAAATGTATATTGATTTTAAGAGCAAATGTATACTAAATTGCTCTTGAGGAATTCCTGAGATCAACATTTACATCCCACTCAAATCAAGAGATTTTTATTGAACACTTATTAAGTATTAAGAGCCTGTAATTGAGCTCACAGGTAGTAGTACTCTCATCTAACAGGTAGGAAATGTGAAGAACATTGAGAAGGTGAAAGCTACTTTAGAGAATGTTAATGATTAAAGTAAAAAATAATAAGTATGACTAATCTCCTGGAATTTAGAAGACAACAAAGAAAAGCTAGCAGGAGGCTCAGAGATAAGAGTTGCATAAATAAATGTGAAAATAATAAAAATTATATATATATATATGCAGAAATATATACATATGCAGAAATATATATATGTGTGCAGAAATCAGGCAATTCTACAGAAATGTTATTGAGAGACACTATTGAATATGATTGTTGATCACAGTATCATAGAAATTGGAAAATAATCAGTAGTGGGTATTTAGGAAGGAAAAACTCAGGTTATATTTGTATAGGATTTGAAGACAAAGAGAAACAGAAAATACTTTCAAAGCTATGTCTTGAGGTATGTGTGTTACCAAACATAATTGTGATGACCTTCAATATATAATAACATAGTTTAGAACTGTGTAGGGGACTCTAATGTGAAAAATAAAAGTGGTCTGGGTTTTATCTGCTTTCTTATATATTTATGGTGCTGGTTACCCTTTTCATGCTAGATTCATTTTAATACCCATGAATATAAAACAAAACTTTCTGTTTTAATTTTCTCCTTTAATTTCACACACTATATTAGATAGGGTTCAATCAGCAAGGTAAAACTACCATAATTTTATAGAATAAGGAATTTTCTTAAAGGATAAAAAAATTAATTATAGGAGAGGTTAGAGGAGTTAAGGGTCTGAAGGGAGAATCTGAGGATCAGAGAAGTCTCCAGCACAACCTCTGAAGCACTGCTGTGAGTGGACAAATGGCAGCTTACCTGGGAATCTGGGTACTCAGGCACCTCAAACTGCAAGGTGGGCTCAAAAAGGAGAGTTGGCACAGTCCATGGAAGTCCATTGTGGCTGCATCTGGCAGCCTGCATGGAATTGACCAGCAGGGTCAGGAAGAGAGCTGGTGGCTGAGTGGGAGGGAGAGAGGATTAGTGGGAATCCATTGGCACCTCCATACCAATACCACCTCCAGGTGGCTTTGTTCCTACCTCCMAATCTGGTGCCAGTGTTTCTTTTGGCTAATTCTAACCTGGAACAATGCTTGGAAGGGGATTCCATTTAAACACAGTTCATCTTAGTCAAGTTGACACACTGCGAAGCCACCATATACCTACACTATATTTTTTCAGATTATAACTGGCATAATTTTTCTGAACCAATCTGATGTCATGACCCTTCTGAAAAATCCTTTAATAGCTACTCATACAGATGGATCCCAGAGCTCTTGCCACCTAAAAGGAAGTATAAGATCTGTTTTCTCACTGTTTCTCCAGTTTCCACTTTACTTTGCACTCTGGCTTTACGAATTAGTTGGATCCGCTTCATCATGGGGTACTGTCTTTCCTTGGGCCCTTACTTTGTTACCCCTCACAACCCCTGGCTTTAAATAAACTTTCAGACTCTTATCATTTCACTTGGCTAGTGTCACTTCATTTGAGACATTTCTTGGTCCCTGGGTTAAGTGTTTCTTCTATGTATTCCCATAAGACCTTTTTGTGGTGTCCCTAATACTTGTGTATTGCAACGGTCTGTCCTGCTAACAGTAATTTCCAAGGGGGCAGCATATATATAAAGATAAGGTAGGACAAATATTATTGATGCCAGGCGCAGTGGTGCATGCCTATAATCCCAGCTGCTCGGGAGGCTGAGGCAGGAGGATTGTGAGTTCAAAGCAAGCATCAGCGAAAACAAGGTGCTAAGCAACTCTGTGAGACCCTGTCTCTAAATAAAATACAAAAAAAAGGGCGAGATGTGGTTCAGTGGCCAAGAGCCCCTGAGTTCTGAGTTCAATCTCTGGTAGCCAAAAAAAAAAAAAAGAGAGAGAGAGAGAGAGAGAGAGTGTGTGTGTTTGTGTGTGTGTGTGTGTGTGTGTGTGTGTGTGTATTTGATATTACAATAAAAGAAAGGACAAAGTGCTGAGGGGAGTTCATAGATGAGCTGATATTTTTTATTTTCCAGAACTGGGGATGGAACTGTGGGTTTCATACTTGCTAGGCAAGCATTCTGCACTGACCTACACCACCAGCCCAAAGTGACACTTTTGGATTCACTAAAGGATGGGGAAGAGTTTGCCAGCTGAAGAAGGGAAGTGGATGAGGAACAAGGGAGGAATGAAGACGTGCAGAGCAGAGGGAGCAGCAGGGACTAAGGAGATGAGATGGTGAAAGGTAGAGTGGGTGAGGCGCATGGGAAGAGGCTAGTGGTGGGATGAAGCCAGAGAGGTAAGTTAAGCCAGTTTATTATGCTGAGTAACCAAAGTTTTGGTGAAGGGAGCCAGAGGCTTTTTGGAGTAGAGCTTAATCTCAGGCAGAGGCTGTGGACAGGAAGAAGAGAGTTCATATTGAAGGCAGACATTGGAAGGAGAACTCCCAGGACCTGGGGTCTGGGTGAGGGTGAAGGAGGGAGGGTGGATACCAAGGAGGTGCATATGGGAAGGAGAGAGAGTGGGGAGATAACARATCTGGTTTTGGAGATTTTGGGATGGAAAGGAGCCATGGAGATTTGATATTCAAATCTCGTCACTATAAACATGGCATGATATAGTATTAATATGACATGATTTATGATATGATATAGTATTAGCTTTGAGATTTAGGAAATTATTTGGTTAAGGGGAATTGGTCTGTTAAAGGGAATAGATGGGAGAAACATTTGAGACTGATGGTCAGGAGAAAGTGGAAAGGTAATGGTTCTTTATCATTGTATCTGTAATGAGAGAAATATTGTTATTTAAAGCAGTGTCTTTAACCCTTTTTTTTTTTTCCTGAGTATTTAACCCAAGGGTGCTTTACCACTGAGCTACATCTCCAGCCATTTTTATTTTTTATTTTGAGACAGGGTCTTGCCAAGTTGCTTAGGCCTTGCTTAGTTGCTGAGGCTGGCTTCAAACTTGCAATCCTCCTACTTCAGCCTCTTGAGTCTGAAATTAACAGATGTGCACCACTACAACCAACCTTAACCCAAATTTTACTGCAGACTAAGAAACTCTGAATATTCTCTCCTGGGCGTTCCAGGAATGAGAGGTGGTAGAACAGGAAGAAGAGCTGTTATATCCATAATAGAAGAAGTGAAGGGTACCTCACATTGGAACTCAGCATCTAGCATGATTCCTGATACTTGGTAGGCACTCCCAGAATATTTGTGGAATAAATGTGCTGGAAAAATGAAGTGTTAAAAAAAATTCCCTGTTCCAAAGGATGGGAAGAATTATTTTTCTTTTCTTTCTTTTTTTTTGTACTAGAGATTGAACCCGGGGCTCTCTACCATTGAGCTATATCCCCAGTTCTTTTTATTCTTTATTTTGAAACAGGGTCTTACTAAGTTGCTGAGGCTGCCCTGGAACTTGCGATACTCCTGCTTTGGCCTTCTGAATTGCTGGGATTATAGGCATTCACTATTAAGCCCAGCAGAAATACTGTTTTTTAAAAAAATGTATTTTTAGTTATTGACAGACCTTTATTTAATTTATTTATTTATATGTGGTGATGAGAATCAAACCCAGTGCCTCACACATAGCAGGCAAGTGTGCTACCACTGAGCCACAGCCTCAGCCCCAGAAGTACTAGTTTTATAGGAAGATTCAAAATCTTTACAAGACTAATAACAGTTTAATGATATTTTAAAGAGCAGAGAGCCCTACTGGATAAGGGACTTGGCAGTTGTTGAATTTGTTTTTATTCAGGATGTGTTCAGCTAATTATCTCTCTTTGGCCTCATATCAGCATGATGTCTACCTGTAGTGGACAGTACACTTGAACTTCTAAGTCCACAAATGGAGAGATTTCTTACCTAAGTTCATTTGCGATTTAGAAGGAAGTCATTATGTTTGTTGAAATGTATGGCTTTTGTAAATCTAGTATTGCCTATCCTTCGTTATCAAAACTATAAGTTTTGTTTTGTGGTACTGGAGATTGAACCCAGTGCTCTAGCACTGAATGATATTCCCAGTTCTTTTTGAGGTAGGGTCTTGATAAGTTGGCAATTCTGGCCTTAAACTTGTGATCCTCCTGCCTCAGCCACCAGAGTTGATGGGATTACAGATGTGCAGCACTGCACCCAACTTGTCTTATAGTTCTTAATACCTAACTTACTCCATGTACTCTTTGTCTCTACATAAATGTGAAATCTTTCCTCTCAGGTATCAGTATGATACATATTTGGTGGCCACTTTAAACCAAGGCTCATTAGAAGACACTAATTTGCTGGTGAACAGATTCCCAGTCACTTTTGTCCCAACACTGTAGCTACTCAGATGCCTCTGAGTGAGTTGTGGTGATTGATGATTTGTATTGATATTTTCTATTATTCCTTCAAATAAAAATGTTTTACCCTCACTCTTATTCCTTTTCCAAAACTTCTTTTCAAATAGCGAAAAGACAAACTACGGGAACACATGCAAAGGATGCATAATCCTGAGAGGGAAGCCAAGAAAGCTGACCGTATCAGCCGCTCCAAGACCTTCAAACCTCGAATCACATCCACGGACTACGACAGCTTTACCTTCAAGTGCCGGTTATGCATGATGGGCTTCCGGCGACGGGGCATGCTGGTTAGTGCCAGATGGAGGCAGGTTCCTGCCTCCAAACCTCATTTTTGTCAATGTTGATGGCTTTGGTATTTTTATTCTGTACTAAGTTATGTTTGTCAGTAGCTTTTATCAATAGCTAGGGGAAGAAACAGGTTAATAGTTCCCAATTTGGAGTTTTCTTCTTTCCAATCTGCCTTTGCCCTTCAGTACCACTTCTTAGGTGACACCTCTTCCTCTTTTTTTTTTTTTTTTTTTTTGTGGTACTGGGGATTGAACCCAGGATTGCTCTACCACTATGATACATTGTCAGTCCTTTTTAATTTTTATGTTGAGACAGGGTCTAGCTAAGTTGCTGAGGATGGCCTCTTGTGATCCTTTTGCCTTCTGAGTAACTGGGATTATAGGTATGGACAACTGTTCCTCTCTTGGGTGACCTTTAAAAGAGGTCTTTTTCTGCCACCATTTTTTTTTTTTTTTTTTTTTTTTTGGTGCACTAGGGTTTGAACCCAAATCCTCATGTATATTGAACTTGTGCTCTGCCATTGAGCCACACACCAAGCCCTCTACTACTTTTCATTACCAGTTTTGTTTTTTTTAACCCTTCTTAATCCTTTTGCTCTTGTCCTGTTTTATTTCCATCCTTCTCTTTTGTGTTCCTGAATATTATTTTTGGCAGGATTTTTGCCTCCTCCCCAACTGTCCCCCATTTTTGCTTCTTTTTTACCAGCTAGGGAACTGCAGCAATAGGAGAAAACTCTCCATCAAAGCAGGGTATGTGGTCCCAGACTAGAGGCAATATCAGGATAGTCATTTCATTTCTCTCAACTTATTTTGACTTTGTATCTGTTGCAGAATATATTTCTGCAAGAGCTAGAGAGTCATAGGACAATATTTAAAATTCAGAACCTTACTTTGTATCAATTCATTCAGTGTTCTCAGTAAAGCTAGAGCAACTAAATTCCAATGAAAGACAGGTTTGCATCAGGAGAATTCATGGAAGAAATTCATGTTCATGTGATTTTCCTTTTTCTAACAGTATTTCTTTTAGCTAGAGACTATTGATGGGACCTGGAGTGACCCATTTCCCCCTCAGTTGTTTGCCAAGCTATTAGCAACTATTAACATGCTTTGGTATTATATGGGTCTGATGATGTTGGTTCTGGGCAAATACCTTATTATTTTGAGGCATTGTGTCAGAGAATTTTAACTTCTAGCACTCATCATCAGAGGCATTTATTTAGCTTTTGTCTGTAATGGGGTCTCTTTCTCATTTGTTCTTTCTTTCTTTTCTTTTTTTTTTTTTTTCCACTTTAGGTAAATCACTTATCAAAGAGGCATCCAGACATGAAGATAGAAGAAGTGCCAGAGTTAACTCTACCCATCATAAAACCAAACCGGGATTACTTTTGCCAGTATTGTGATAAGGTGAGAGCGAAATATCCTTCCTGCTGTGCCACTGTGGGAGCCCTGCTCAGAGCCAAGTGTGTCTATGTGTGTAAATATATACTAGTTACTCTTAACAGATGGTTCCCTGCTTCTTAGTAGTTTTCCATTCAGACCAGAAAGGGCTACAAATGCAGTTCATTTTTAGCCAAAATTTTTTTTCTTAAGAATTTGTTTTTCTTATTGTGTCTTCTCTCTGACTTTTGTTACAAAAGAAGAGGCTTGTTACCAAGAGCCTAGAATATGAATTCATTTTATTCCTAAGTTCTTAACATGAGAGTATTTATCATCTTACTTGTAAATATGTGATAGATCTAGCATTTCTAGAGGACTGAGTGGAATGTGAAAAAGTTTGTGATGGTAGAGTACTTACACTATTTCATTCTTAATTTTTGTGCAGTTACAAAAAAGACAGAAAGAGAACATACTGTTTATTATAATAGTGTGTATAATATAGCCTTGTAGAATGTAGTTATGTCAGATTAAAAGTAAAGAACATGATTTAAATATAGAGTCCCTACCAAAGCTACTAGTTGCTATTAAACTTGCCATTTGAAGATTCTTTGGTTCCTAGTAGTTGGTCACATACATCATATGAGAGCTTTTACAGATAGACTAAAGGATGTACTGGCCTTAAAAACGAATCTCTATTTCTTTATGTCCTCCTTTTGAGCTTTCAGGTAAAGGATATTTTTATAGTTAAAATCTTAGATATATACAGAAAAATTCAAGGAAGATGCCTGGCATATCTTTAGTATGTTCTTGTTTTATTCTGTGTATTTATGTATATTATTCTTCAGAAGATCTGTTAATATATTTTCTTTGGGGCATTATCATTTTTTTTTAATTTCCTTAGAGTGAAATTGTTAGTTTGCTTTAAGCAAGAAAAAGGAATTGTACACTGCTTTCATGGCAAAGTATTTGAACTTACAGGTTTATAAAAGTGCCAGCAAGCGTAAAGCCCATATTCTGAAGAACCATCCAGGAGCTGAGCTCCCACCAAGCATTCGGAAACTTCGTCCTGCTGGTCCTGGAGAGCCAGACCCCATGCTGAGCACCCACACCCAACTGACGGGCACCATTGCCACCCCTCCTGTCTGCTGCCCTCACTGTTCCAAGCAGTATAGCAGCAAGGTATGGCACCACCTTCTGACCACATCTGACAGCAAAACCTCTACATGAGGTTTTCATGTCTTAACAGAAGGTGACTACTCATCCAGGTGGCCGAGAGGTCTCCTTTCTAATTGATGGGGGATTGAAAGAGACGTCAGTCTAGACCCTGTAAGCACTGAATTCTCAGTGCTACTCCTTCACTGCAATATTATCAGAACCTCTAGGGTAGCTCCCACAGTGATGAGTGGGAGGAGAATGTTGTAGACTCCCTAGAGTTAGTGCCTGAACACTTGACTGTTCTCTTCTGCCCTTGGCCTGCTGAGGGTCTCAGATTTGAATATTCTGCACTCATAGTTTATAAGCTTAGGCTTATGGAAGCATTTTGTAGGAACTGAAATGGTGGTTCTTGAAAAGGGGGTCATTTGTGCTGGTGATGGGGATTGTGACTGATTGTTATGGATATTAAGGGGGTAAGAGATGCTGTGAAGATTTTGGACTTGCCTGATGGTGTAGGATCATATAAGTTTTTACTTTTCCACCTACTTTTTTTCTTTTGCTTTCATATCCTTATATTACTTTTGGAAATGCAGGCATAGAGTTGGTGTTGCTCTGATTTTTCATTTTATTTTAATTACTTAATTAACTTGAAAGATGGGGTTAACTATGTTGCTTAAGCTAGCCTCAATCTCCTAAGCTCAAGGGATCCTCCTGTCTCATCCACCCAAGTATCTGGGACTACAGGAGTATGCCATGGAGCCTGTCTGATTTTTTATTTTGTAAGGGCACAAAATAAAAGACCTTCAGAAACGTTGGATGGTTTGCATATGAAAAGGATTAAAAACAACTCATTTTAGTAATTATTCTTGATTTTTTCTTAAATTTTTCAGACCAAGATGGTCCAACATATTCGAAAGAAACATCCAGAGTATGCTCAGCTTCCCAATAACATCCAGACGCCCCTGACCACAGCTGTGATCAGTGCCACCCCAGCTGTTCTGACGACAGATAGTGCCACTGGAGAGACTGTGGTGGTAAGTTTATGACTAGGAGARCATTTAACTTCCTTTGATGCCCATCATATTTATAAATACTCATCTTGTTATTTTAATTGGCTGCAAATAGAGCCCATTATCATTCAGTTTGCTATATAAGGCATTATGCTTGTGATTGGGTCTCCTAGTCAGTGTTTTCCAAAGCTCTCTGTCAAAGAAGTAGCAAGGAATTCTCAGTGCTACTCCTTCACTGCAATATTATCAGAACCTCTAGGGTAGCTCCGTTGAGCAAGAGATAGGCACTCAGGGTTATTTTGTATTTCCATGATCCATTGGCATGATTAATTAAATTTTAACAGGATTTAAGAGCACTGAAAGAGCTACAATCAGTAGTTTATCAACTAAAGTGTTCTGTGTGATTTTTCTAGACAACAGACCTGCTAACCCAAGCGATGACAGAATTGTCTCAGACCTTAACAACTGATTACCGAACACCACAGGGAGACTACCAGAGGATTCAGTACATCCCTGTGTCCCAGTCTGCATCTGGGCTCCAGCAACCTCAGCATATACAGCTTCAAGTGGTACAGGTGGCCCCGGTACTGTGTGACATTTACTTCTGTTTATCTTTATAAGCATCATATTGCTATTAGCCAAGATGGTAGCTAGAGTCAATGAAAGCACCCAGGTCTCAGAAATGGACATAGACTCTACATAATGTGCTTCTGCATGGAAATTCTGGRTCTGGGACATTTGTAAAACACTATTGCTACTGTCCTTCCCAGGGTGATGCAGGCTCTGGACTTGGCAGTGTAAAAGATTTCTTTCTGTCCTAGTCAGGACATTTTAGGCTCTAGCATACATAGTGTGCAGGTACTCATGACACCTAGCCTCTTATGAATCCTTGTGCTGTAGCATCCACATTGACTACTTGATAATGCACTAGTTTGAATAATCCCTATTTGGGTATCAAATGGCTTGTATCATTCGAGAGGTTGTAAAATACAATTTTGATTCAGTCTATGACTATTTATTAGTATCTTTTTAGTATAGAATTATAACTATGTTCTTTCTACTAGATAATGAATAGCTCATTCTTACTCATTAGGGAGCAAAAAGAAGAAATCCTCTCAGAACTATTGTTTATTTATTTGTGTGTTTGTTTTGGTAGTGAGGATTGAAATTGGGTGCTTTACCATTGAGCTACATCCTCAGCCTTTTATTTTTTGAGACAAAAGTCTTGCTAGGTTGCTGAGGGCCTTGGTAAGTTGCTGAGGCTGGCTTTAAACTTGTAATCCTTCTGCCTCGGCTTCCTGAGTTGCTGGTATTACAGGAAGGCACCACTGTGCCTGGCTCTTTCCTTCGCTTATGCTGTGAGAATGTATATTCAAAACACAAATGAACTTGTTGCTTTGAAATCAGTTGGTTTTGAAAATTTAAAACCAACATGGAAGTTACCACTGTCATTCACTATTCTTTTTTGCTTTTGCAGCACTGGGGATGGAACCCAGTGCCTCATGCATATTAGGCAAGTGCTGTACCACTGAGCTACATGCTTAGCCTTTTAAATTTTACKTTGAGACAGGATCTCACTAAATTGCCTAGACTGGCCTTAAATTTGGAATTCTTCTGTTTCAGCCTCCAAAGTAGCTAGGGCTAGGATTACAGGCATGTGTCACTGTGCCTGGCAACGATTCTTTACTCTTTTTTCCCCCCATATGGAACAGTTCTTGGCTTTATGCTAAGAATCTATGAGGCCCTGTAGTTTTGTGTTAAACATGATGTGAAGAAAGGTGAGGTGGTGCATGCCTATAATCTCAGTGACTAAAAAGGCTGAGGCAGGAGGATTGCAAATTTGAKACTATCCTCAGCAACTTAGTGAGATCCTGTATCAAAATAAAAACTTAAAAAGGGCTGGGGATATAGGTCAGTAATAGAGCATTCTCAGGTTTAATCACCAGTATCACAAAACAAAGGAAAAGAACAACAACAACAAACATTCCCATGATATGTATATATATTGACTCTGGAAAAAGGGGCCAGCAATACTTTGGCTAGATTTTCAAACATGTTTGTGATATGTAAAAGGTCAGGGACCACTGTTTTAGTGGGTCTGAACATAAAAGCACTACTGTTATCTTCATTTTTCAACTGTTCTAATTAAGACTACTATTAAAATGGGCACCCACATTTGGAAATGATTATTGGCAGATCTTTTAAAGTAATTCTTTTTTAATGAATAGCCAAGGATTTCACGTATAATTTTGTACCCAGAATCACACAGTAGGTTGGCAACATTTAATTTTAAAGGGAGACAGTATCAGTATAAAATATATAATTTTTCACTAAAGMTTTAGTATACATTTTATACTGATGAATTTATTATGATTAAGAGGCACTTCTCTCAAGACACTATAATAGTTTGTGTATAACTGCTCATAAAATGTAGGATTTCTTGGGCTGGGGTTGTGGCTAAGTGGTAGAGCACTTGCCTCACATATGTGAGGCACTGGGTTCAATTCTCAGCACCACATATAAATAAATGGATAAAATAAAGGTCTATCAACAATTTAAAAAATGTGGAATTTCTTATAATTTTTTTTTTTTTACTCTTGGAATAATACTTTTTATATTGGTTTTATAGATACAGTCACAAGAATACCTAGTGATAGCATATACCAGGTAGTGATAAACTAAAAGCAAGTTCTCTTCCTTGGTCTCTTTTAACTGATAGGACACTAAATTAACGAAATTTAAAGGAAAAACATTGTTGGTTTCTGAGAGATTCTCATGCAGTTTATTACTGATATTATTATCATCATCATAGTTATTATATTATAGCACTGGTGATTAAACCCAGGGTTGCTCTACTACTGAACTACATCCCCACCTCTTTTCACTTCTTTGTTTTGAGAGAAGCTCTTGCCAAATTTTGAGACTGGCCTCAAACTTGCTCCTTGTCGAGTAGTTGGGATTACAGGTGTGTACCACTGCACCCAACTGTCATGTAGGTTATTATTAGGAATCATATTTTTCTTTCTCTTTGTCTTCCAGAATTTTAGTACCTTATATTTTAGAAGCATTTTTAGAATTTTAATCCTGGACAGCTTGGCATAGAAGTGTGTGCCCTCTGGGAGTGCAGTGTGCAGCATTAGATTCTGAAGTAACACTTATTCTTCTATTGGGACATTATTTTTAACTGAACTTTTTCTCTGGTAAGATTTCCCTTAACCTCAAGTGATATATATTTGGTTTCTGGGCCTGTTTTTTTCTCCCACCAGGCCACTTCCCCTCACCAGTCTCAGCAGTCCACTGTGGATGTTGGACAGCTCCATGATCCTCAGACCTACACACAACATGCTATCCAGGTGCAGCACATCCAAGTCACTGAGCCCACAACCTCAGCCCCGTCATCATCCCAGGTATCTTCTCTATGGACTGTTCAGAGGAGTTAATGTGGCCTCAAGGACCATAAGAGGAAYAGTAAAGACATTATCCACCACTACTGAGATTATGTTGTTATTTTTGGGCCTTAATTAATAAGTCTTACCTTTGCCTCCAATTTTTATTTTAGTAAGGTGTATCCAGTTGCATTAAGTTATTAACTTCCCCTGTCCCTGTGGAACCCTGTGATATGATATCCTAGAAACAGCACTAGCTTTTCTTCTCATTTTAAATGGCATCGCTAAATTGCTTCTATGATTTGGAACAATGACTTTGTGGAGTACTACTCTGTATTGTGTTTGCATGATTGAGTCTGTCACTGAGATATTAAGTAARCATGGGAGTAAAGAGGAGAGGGAAGTTATATATAGCAGACTATGTAGAAATTATGTGTGGATGTGGTCTTTGAATTAGGTCTTGAGGGGGTATGGAAGCATTGTGATCTGCATAAGCTCAAGTTGTGAGTAAGAATACAGAGTTGTGAAATTGTGGTATATTAGCGGAAACTGAGTGATTCTATTTAGGAATAGGAAATGATGTTTGGAAAGAAAGTAGGGAAAGTAGCTTGGAGCTGGATTCTGGAGGACCTTGAATGGCAGATGACAAAGAATGTTCCTATCTGATAGGAGTAAGCCTCTACACCAGATGTCTGAATGCGTCCCTGTGCTTCACTCCACAACCAGGGAGGGATTATTTAGCACAATTTAATAGAAATTGTGATCTGTGGGTTATATTTTCATTTGGATCCCAGATTAGTTTTGTGACATAGGCAAATTATTTTACTTCTCATTTCTTTTAATCTTATATAAYGTATGCAATTATGCTTTCATTCATTTATCTAGAAAGTTTATTGAAATTAATTTTTTGGATACTTCTGTAGATTATCTTCTGAAAACAAATTAGAATTTCAGGGTTTTGATTGCTTTTTTGTTCATTCCACTCTTAGTTAAAAATATTAGTACTTTAGCAGTGATATACTTTGGCTTATAAAATTCATATTATTCTGCTTTATTTCCTTCAGTTATTTGCAGGTCTTAGATCTATAGAAATTTCATAATTTCCTGCTTTTGTTTTCTCCTTCTCCCCAGGTGGCTGGGCAGCCACTGAGCCCTTCCGCTCAGCAGCCTCAGCAGGGGCTCAGCCCCTCCCATATACAAGGCAGTTCTTCCACACAGGGGCAGACTCTGCAGCAGCAGCAGCAGCAAAACTCCTCTGTGCAACACACGTACCTTCCCAATGCTTGGAATTCTTTCCGAGGCTACTGTGAGTGAGAAAAATGGGTACAGTGTTGTATAGTTCATGGGCTGATTCTCCATCCATATGTTTCCATCTCATCAGCTTTATAATGGGTTTTTAGATTAAAATATCAATTGGGCATTTTTTTCACTCTATGGTATATATATATATTTGAATGAGTTTCATGACAAAATTCAAGGCAGCATTTTGATCTCAGAAAGCCAGTTGGATATAATGTTTTCAGAGACATTAGGTATGTTGATAAAGAAAGTATAGGTAGGTGACTTAAATAGAATAGATGAAGAGAGAATATGTCAATGGTAATGATTCATCCCTTCCATCAATAATTATTAAATATCTATATATTAATCACTGTGCTAGACTCTGGGTATACAAAGATTAATGTTGACATTAATATCAGTAATGCTACACAATAATGTCAATGTCAACAATAATTTTTAAAATTTTGTTTTGGTACTGGGGATCTAACCCAGGGACTTGACTTTAACTTTACCACTGAGCTACATCCTAGTTCTTTTTATTTTTTATTTTGAAACAGGGTTTCACTAGGTTTCTTAGGGCCCTGCTAAGTGGTTGAGGCTGACCTTGAACTTGTGACTCTCTTGCCTCAGTCTCCCAAACTGCTGGGATTATAGGCATGTGCCACCGTACCTAGCTGTAAGCCAACTTTCATTAAGCTCTTAGTGTATGCTGAGAATGATTCTAAATTATGTATATCACATTCAGTATTGATAGCAACCTACAAGATGAGTACAATTGTTAATTGCATTTTACTGATAAGGCAGTTTATACTGTATTTAGATACAACAACTATCTAAGAGACATAACTAGTCACTGGAGAACTAGAACCCATGCTGTCTGGCTCCAAATCTTATACTCTAAATTATCCTGCTGTGCTGTTTCTCCTAATAAAATAGTCTTTGGGTCAAAGGGATCATCATCTGCTGGGTAGGGTGGCACACACCTGTAATCCTGTCTACTTGGGAGGCTGATGCAGGAGGATGTCAAGTTTGAGACCAGCCTTAGCAACCTAGTGAGACCCTCAGCAACTGAGTAAGACCCTGTCTCAAAATAAAAAATAAAAAGGTCTGGGGATTAGCTCAGTGGTAAAATGCTCCTGTGTTCAATCTTTGGTACCAAAAGAAAGAGAGAGATAATCATCTAGCAAAGGAAAAAATATATATATGTAATATATTATAAAACCCTGACATTAGTGTTATGGAAGAGTATCAGGTTAGCTGCCTGAAGTCAGAATAGGTAGAAATCAAGGTTGGAATGAAAACTTTGGGTGTGGGCTAGAAATATATGAGACTTTATTATGGAAAATGTGGAAGGAACAGGAAGAGAGATAACAGACCTTAATAGAAGCAAGTAGGAATTCTGAGCCCTAAGAAGCAGGGAAGTAGTGTTGATCTTTYTCCTACTATTGATGTCTTTTTTTGAGGGGCCCATCACTGTTATGGATGATCCTTGGCTATATAACATAGATTTGCTGTAGAGTCAGATTTGAGCTCTGCCATTTAGTTATTTTGAAAATCTGTTTATTAAATACTGGTGGTTCCAATGAGGGCCAAATCTATTTTATGGACATAGAAAGACACTCTGACTCCAGAGTAAATACCAGTAGAATCCTGGGAAATAGACTGATGTTTATGGTTAGTTTAATTCCTATGAAACATAGTAAATGATAAAGATATCCAGCTATCTATGGTTATAAAGTATAAGCTAACATTCTAATATGAAGATAAGATTCTGGAACTGAAATTTTTTATTATAAAAAAATTTCAATATTATGCTTGGGTAGAATAGTATAATGAACCCCTGTACTCATCCTCTAGCTTTAGTAGTTACCAAGTCATATCCAGCTTCATCTCTATCCCATCCTTCTCTCCCATCCTCCAACTCAATAATAATCCATTGTATCATTTCATCCATACATAGTTTAGTATATATCTCTAAAATTGAAAGGTTGACTGGACATGGTAGTACATACCTGAAATCCCAGTGACTCAGAAGACTGAGGCAGGAGGATTTAAGTTCAAGGCCAGCCTCAGCAATTTAAAGAGGCCCTGTTTCTAAGTAAAAATAGAAAAATCTGGAGATGTAACTCAGTGGTAACATGACCCTGGGTTCAATCCCTATTACCAAAAGAAAAGGGAAAAAAACCCTAAAATTAAAAAGTCTGGTGTTTTTGTTATTTGTTGTTGTTTGTGTGTGTGTTGGGGGAGGGGTGCGGTTTGTGCTAAGGTTTGAACCTGGGGCCTTGCACATACTTAGCATGTGCTCTATAACTGAGCTATATCCCATTTAAAAAAATATAACATTATCATAATACAACATTATCACACCTAAAAATGAATGACAATAATTCTTTAATCCCCTCAAATTTACTTCAGATATCCAGTCAGTATTCCTATTTCTTTGATGGTCTCAGAAATTAAAAAAAAAAAAAAAAACAAACAAACTTTTGGTTTGTTCAAATTGGGTCAGAGGAGAACCAGACTTTGTCATTGTTTTTTTTTTYCCTTGGTATTAGGGATTGAATCCAGAGGTGCTTTACAACTGAGCTACATTCCCAGATCTTTTTAATTTTTATTTTGAGAGAGTATCTCCCCAAGTTGCTGAGGCTGGCCTTGAACTTGTGATTCTCCTGCCTCAGCCTCCCAAGTCACTGGGATTATGGGTGTGCATCACCAGCCTGGCATATTGTTGTTGTTTAATATACTTTCTTCTGTCTCTTTTATTTCCTGTAGACTGGCCATTAGATCTAGAGGCTTGACTAAGTTCAGGTTCACACCACACCTGGTGTGTGTCCTTTCATCAGGAGGCATACAATGTTTGGTTGTCTCTCTTTTTGTGATGTAAGGAGTCATTGATGTTTATTCCTTAGCTTCATTGTTTTATTAGGGCTTATAAAGTAGTGATATTTGGATTCTATAATTCTTCTTCATTAATTAGTTGGAAAAACATYTTATCCTAATTAACCAGATGACTCTTGAGTACAGATTGTGTAGGAAAGGGAGGATAAATGCTTTTGATACACAATTAATCACCTTCATTTAGCAGTTTTCAAAATAATGAGTGGGTTTTCTAGTGTTTTGCAAGGTGACTAATGAAGGATATGTATATGTGTCTTAGTGTCATTTTGTACTCATGAATTACAACACATGACATATTTGAACCTATTGCAGTATTTTCCTTATTGATGTTCAGATTATTTCATTTTTGCCTAGCAGGAGTCTCTTCAAACTGTCTCCTGCATCTTTCTCATATGACTGTATAAGCCCAAAAGGTGATGTTCCAGGCTTATCTTACCCATCTTCTGCTCAGAGCTGGAATCATCCATTTTCCCGAGAATACCTAATTCCTTTTAGCAGAAAATATTATTCAGAGACTATCAACAGGGTGCTAGGGTAAATTTTGCTTTTGATTTTCTTTAATTACAATAATTCAAGTTGGATTTAGTTGTGATTACTATTTAGTTGTGATTACTGTGGATACATTTGTGCCATAAATTCAGACATGAATCTAAAAGCTAAAAATAAGCTAAAAGATAAGCCTTTGAAATATAATTCSAGATTTTAAAARTAGGTAAATATTTGTATTTGTGGATATTTGGAAGCYACACTTGAGTGGAGACGCATTAATTGTCTCTGATTTTTAGTAGCTCTTTAGTAGTGCCTTATGATATTATTTATTCTTATCAGAGATACTTTCACTCTATCAAGAAATCACTGCATCCCAAGACTCTCACAGCAAGGAGATCTATGGGAAATAGCTCAGTGAGGACTATGACCACTGGTTAGGTACAGATGGTTCAACTACCATGGTTCAATTTAGGATTTTCACCTTAATGATGACGTAGAAGCATAACCATATAACCATTCTGGGAGTTTTGCTTTTATTTTTGAGATATGATGTCTTGCTGTATTGCCTAGGCTGATTTCAAACTCCTGGCCCAAGAGATCTTCCTGCCCCAGCCTCCTGAGAGGTGGGACTACACCACTATGCCTGGCTGTATTCTGTTTTTCACTATCWATGCAGTATTCTCTAATTTACATGAGATAGTCAACACTTTGTTATAAAATTGATCTTGTTTTAGATGATTTTTGCTCAACTTTAGGCTGTTACAAATTTTCTGAGAAAGTTTAAGTTAGGCAAGGCTAAGCTATGATACAGGGGTTAGGTGTATTAAATGCATGTATGATTTATGATGTTTTCAATGTGGGATAGGTTTATTGGGATGTGACCCCCATCATCTAAATAAAGGAGCATCTGTATTTGTTTCTAGAACTTGTATTAAAARTTTGTATATTTTCTATTTTCAGCATCTGAGATTCAAATGATGACACTTCCCCCAGGTCAGTTTGTGATTACAGACAGTGGTGTAGCAACTCCTGTCACTTCTGGCCAAGTGAAGGCGGTTACTCCGGTAAGCTACCCTGTCCAGAACACTTGTCACAATTTGGTCTTTATTTATTGCTTTATTCTATAGTTTCTCAGTAGATGATTTATTGAAAGCTGTGTCTATCACTTAATCCTCTGCCTTGCTCTGGAAGCTAAACTATAGCAAATGCTTAACTAATAACTATAATGAGCCTCCTAGACCCATCCATATGATCACTTTTTTTTATACACTTATTGGAAATATTGTAAGTCCTCAAAACTATTGGTCTTCAACTGGGCTGGGAGAGAATAATATAATGAATCAATTATGGAGCTATTTTAAATAATTTACCCATTTGAAGGTGAAAAACATTGCCATAATATTTAACTTTGGCAGGTACAATATTGATTGTATCTATTCCTTTTRTTCTTCATGTGTTTGTTCTGGTCTGCTTCTTAAATTTTAGAAAGACAGTACACAAATTTAAATTAAGAAAAATATTCTTGGGCTGAGTGTAGCTTGATGGTAGACGGCATGCTTAGCATGTGCGAGACCCTGGGTTTGATCCCCAGCTCCAAAAAAAAAAAAAAAAAAGAAAATTAGTCTTGGATTAATAAGTTCTGGAGATCTAGGGTACAGAGTACAGATCTAGAATGGTGACTATAACTTATAGTAATGCATTGTATAGTTGAAAATTACTGAGAGTAGATTTTAAATGTTATCACATACACACAAAAAGGTAAACATATGTTGATGGTTATACTAGCTTGATTTTTTTTTCATTTATGTTAGCTTGACTTAATTATTTCACAATGTATACATATATCAAAACATCAAGACTGGGGTTGTGGCTCAGCAGTAGAGTGCTTGCCTAGTGAGTGTGAGGCCCTGGGTTCGATCCTCAGCACCACATAAAAAAATAAATAAATAAAAACAAAGGTATTGTGTACAACTAAAAGAAATATTAAAAAAACAAAAAATCATGTTATATACCATAAATATATATAATTTTATGTTTCTTTTATACCTTTAAGATGCTGGGAGAAAAAAAGAACAATACTCTTCAGTGGCTTAGGGACATTGGGATAGTCCCCAAGGGAAGATTATTTCCCAAGAGGGTGGTATGGTTGTCTAGTTATCTCAACATCGTGATATTTTATTTTTATTTTTTGTAGTACTGGGGATTAAATCCAGGGGCATTTTACCACTGAGCTACATGCAAAAGCCCTTTAAATTTTTTTTTTTTAATTTTGAGACAGTCTTTTTAGTGGTTGATAATACTTTTCACAGATCTTGCATTAGACTGGCTTTAAATTTGTAATCCTTCTGCCTTAGCCTTCTGAGTTACCCCTTCCTATACTCTTAATGTTAAAGTGAATATTTGATGGTAGGATATAAGGACATTTTAAATGTCCTTACTAGGAAAACCAAGATTTTGCGACTAGTAATATTATTTTTTTTAATTTTTCTGGTTTTTGAAGGCTTAAAATCTGGGAACCACTGATCTTGATTATGGGGGGGGGCAGTCTGCTTCTTTAAGGAGACTTTATCACTTCTTTGATCCATTTTGCATTAATCTTAACATTTGATTGATGGCAATATTTTTTCTGAAGTTCTAAGTTCTTAGGAACAGTACAAAAGTGCATATTTTCTTTGCCAGATAGGTTACTACCACGTGCAAATTTCTATATCTGAAGTTCTTCACTGTGTCGTTTGGTAACAACAAAGGTAACTGTTGTTACCAAATGATACAGTGGTAACAACAAAGGTAATTCAAGTACTTCCTTGAATTATGATTGTATTCAGTTACTGTGACCGCCCTATCCTCTCTAAAGGATATAGGTAAAGCATCTCTTATAGGAGTCTATTTTGGATCCCCTGTATCATTTCTTTGCATGTTTCCCTCTCCTCTCCTCTGTTAGCTTTTATACTTTTATATTCCTCCCTCATAGGCTCTAAGTTTCTAAAGATCCTTCTTTTTCTGCTTTAGGGTCATTACGTGTTATCAGACGGTCAAACAGAATTGGAGGAAAAGCAAACTTCTGCCCTTTCCAGTGGTGTCCAGGTTCAGACATCTGCACACAGTGACTCTCTGGATTCCCAAACCACCAGCCAACAGCAGACCACACAGTACATCATCACCACCACGACCAATGGGAATGGAAGCAGTGAAGTGCACATCACTAAACCCTAGTTTTCACCGCGGAGCTAGCGTGGAGCATTCACATCATGTATTTTCTCATTCATAAGTCTGAAGCTTCTGATACCCAGACCTCTTTTTTAAGATTTAGTATTCACTCAAAGAATTTGAAGACTACAATTTTGGCGTGCGCGTGTGCTCACACACATACACACACACACACACACACACACACACACACACACATATGTGGGGATTATTTTGTCAAGGTCTTCATTACCAAATTGACTCTTCAAGCCCTCAGAGCTTCTGCCACGAAATGGAGATCTTTCAGGGGAAAGTAGATTTCAGGATGGAGAAACTTTGTCTTGCTCGAGTTGGTTTTTTACCACACTGATAAGCCTTACTTTCCTTCATGGAAATATTAAGTGGCATATTTGTGTTCATACCAAAGGTGGAGACAGGCTGTGCCAAGTCCGTGGTCATTGGACTTCTGAATTCCAAGCCATGGCACCAAAGGAGAATGGGCATTTCACAGGTGTGATTTAAATCAGGACTTGTAAGTTTGAGTTTTCAGTAATTTAACAAAGGGAGCTTACTGGATAAGAAAATAAAAATGATGAGACAAAAGTTTGACAGTGGTGTTCTGAAGGGAAAACTGTCATTTAAAATTTTCTTATCGCTGACTTTCTTTTCTTGTTTCTTTTTTTGGATAGGGGTGTTGCTATGTTGGTTAGGCTGGTCCTGAACTCCTGGGCTCAAGTGATCCTCCTGCCTCAGCTTCCTGAGTAGCTGGGATTACAGGCAGGCCACCATGATTTTTTTTTTTAATTTTCATATATTAAAAGACTATGGTTAGTGGTTGATAATACTTTTCACAGATCTTGGTCCTCAGCAGATTAAGGCAGAACCTCATGTCCTGATAGTTCTTTCTTTATTATTTCACAACGGTGGGTGGACTCCCCAAAATAGAAAAGACTTCTTGATGTTAGCAGAATTTAAGCCCCTACATGAAACTTTTGCCTTCCATTCTCTGGTTGCAGTTGTATTAAGGGCATATTGGTACCAAGAGAATTTACCCAAATTAAAACTATCCTGTGGGGGCGGGGGGGGGGCAGAGAGGGGGACCTGAAACACTATCCTGCCTTGCAGCATCCATTTACCATTAATTGGTAAAAGTTGAATTCCTTGTTCTTACCAAGTATACATTTAACTCCCCCCGCCACTCTTTTTTTAATTTTTTTTTTTTTTTGTGTGTGTGTGTGTGTGTGTGTGTGTGTGTGGTGCTGGGTTTAAACCCAGGGCCTCAAGCATGCTTGGCAGGTGCTCTAATAACTGAATTACACCTCGAGCCCCTACATTTAACTCTTGTTCACAGCATTCAGTGTATTTTAATACTTTCAATGCTGTCTTAAAATGAACATTCTTTAAAGTTGGATGGAAAGGTGGCCTTCCTTATTTCTAAAGACTTTTAATTTTAAACATATTGCAACTCATCTGGACCTTTTTATGAGATGACCAACTTCACACTTAGGGGGAAAATTAAAATGCAGGGACCATTTATAATATATGAGGATAATATAAAGGATCTGGAAGAAATTGTCTCTTTATGAATATTATACTGTCAGGTGGGAGAGGAAATGGTTTGTCTTATATGTGTTCCTGTTTAGTAGGAGTCTTGTGTGCTATGAATTCAGTGGGGAAAAGTATTTACCCTCTTTTTACTGTACATTCCAATTGTACCTGTGAAACATTTCAGTCAGTACATATTTTAACAACATTTTGTGACATGCATTTTTAGAATAATTATTGTATAGTGAATTTATCAATCCAGATCAAGAAGACCTAAATACGTTTAAAATTAAGTCAACTAATTATTTTATTTATATTTCTGAGTGAAAACTGGTTCTATGAATTAAGAAGCATAGTAGCTTCTTTATGGTAAAGGTATCTTTCTGAAAAGTAAAAAGAATTCTTTTCTACTAACTTTACTAATATGTAGATCTTGCACTTTATTTTTGAGACCTCATTCACATAGCTATCTCTGAAAATTTGGGCACTAAGAGGACTTGAAAAAGATTCTTCAAAAATGTTTGGAAACTGAAAATGGACTTTCTATCTTTGGTAACAAAGAAGTAACATTGATATTTTCAACAGAAAATAAAATTGATCTTGAGTCACAAAACGCAGACTCTAGTTCCCAAAGTTCCATAATGTAATGATTGTAAGTAGCCTATTGCCCTCGAGAAAGACTTGTTAGGAGGAGAATACTAGACTTTTCCAAAGGTCCAGTTTGGGTTTTTGTAACTTATATTTGGCCCTGTTGGGTTCTTTTTAATTTGATCCAGCAAGGAATCTTCCCTCTTCTCAGGAATAAYTTATTGATTAAAATAAAAAATTATCACTGAATAGAATGTTCGTTTTATGCCAGTTATTYTAAGTTTTAAAATACACAGAGGAAGATCTTGTTGAAGAACTTTGTCTCTTTCCCTTCTAAGTTTTTCCTTTGTCTTTTTTAGTCCTTATGTGGAATAAATTAAGACTCTAAAACTAACGTTATCAACCAGAGATGCAGGTGGCACTAAAGCCAAACAACATTGCTTTAGGATCAGGTATTGTGCACATTAATTCCAAGGCAATATTTTCCAAAGGACTTGGATTTGAAGAGATAGCAGACTATAATTCCTCTGAAGACCTAATTTGGGAAACACTTATGTAGCCAATGTTTGTTTTGTGGCCACTCCCAAAACACACTGACACTGTAGACTTTATTCAGTGCAGAGTGATATTTTGGAGTAGGGTGGATATAAATTTTACATTTTTATTGTTTGATTTATACCCAAATAGACATTTCATCATGTAAAATTTCTGTTCTTCTGGAAAAAGTTTTTGTTTTGATCTTGAATTATTTTCTGACTTGGAATTATCCTTTCAGAAAAGTCTTAAGATAGCTAGGGCTAAAAAGCACTTCATGAGATGCTAAAGCTTACCCATTGGTTGAATATGTTGACCCTATCCTATTATTTAAATGTGAACATTTCTTGTACATTCAGTGAGTTATAGTGTTAATAGTCTTGTGCTATGCAGCAGGTGTAAAAATTAATAAATATTTTTTTTAATAAACATGTTTCTTGTTTGTATATATAAAGCTATAAGAACTACTGAGATGGTTAAACTCTTTTTTTTTTTTTCCTTTTAAATTTTACAATGTAATTTCTGGTTCCCAATCAGCATTTAAGAAGCTTGAAAGTTGCTACTCCATCCTACCAACAAGTAAAAAGTTGAAGAAACTGAAAAATCAACAACTTTTTAAATTTATTTTTTTAGAACGGGGATTGATCTCAGGGGTGTTCTGCCACTGAGCTATACACACAGCCCTTTTTACTTTTTTCTTTTGAGATAGAGTCTCTCTAAGTTGCTGAGACTGGCCTCAAACTTGTGATCCTCCTGCTTCAGCCTCCTGTGTAACTGGGAATATAACCATGTTCCATTACATAAGACTCAACAACTCTTCTTAGATCCATCAGAAAGTGAGGTAACAGAACAAACTGCCACCCTCAAAATTGGAGAGATTGACAAGTGAATGTAGAATCTCAAACTAAAATCAGCAGAAATCCACAACCAAAAAGGAATATGAGCCTCTAAGGGAACCAGTGCCAGGGTAGGAAATCCTGAAGTGTAATCAATGAATTGCTGAAAGCTCACTGTGTACAAGCATGAGACACAAAAGCTCCAAGGGAACCCTGTCATTGGAAGATAAAGGGAATCCACATTTTTTGAGTTTTACCTCCATAAACTTGACTAGGTTCTCCCAGTGAATATTGGAGAAAAATTCCCTCAAGATCCTGGAGAGGTAGGGAAGAAGGAACTCTTTTGAAATATAGCAGAGCACTACTTTTTTTTTAGTTATAGATGGACACAGCACCTTTTTTAAAAATTTTTATGTAGTACTGAGGATCAAACTCAGTGCCTCAAGCATGTTGGGCAAGCACTCTAGCACTGAGCCACAACCCCACCCCAGAGCATTACTTTTTTTTTTTTTGGAAGATGGGCTTAATCATACTGTTCTCTTTATTTTTGTGTATTTGTGAGGATTTCCATAATAAAATATTTTTAAAATTGAGTTTTGTTTTGATAGTGTTATACTATAAAACATCAAAAATTTCCTTCTTTATGAAGATTTCCTGACAGAAAAATAGAATTTTCTGATGGACCACTAATTAGTACATTAACTTAAATCTTCTAACAGTTATTTAGAAACTGACAACGAAAAATAATTTTAAAAATATTGTACAAATTACTGTTACTATATCAATAAAAGACCACCAAAAGTTGGAATTTTAAGCCAAAAGCAGAAAGGTTTAATAAATCTAACATTAAATCTAGGTAAGGGTGTGGGCTCTAGAGTCATTAAAATCTAGGTGTGTATTCTAGCTCTGTTAGTCCTAGCTAGATATTTTTTGGCAGATCATTTAATTTCTGTGAACCTCAGGAACCATGTCTATAATGTGAGGATAAGATTTCTTGATTAGAAAGCACTGACCACAGGGCCTAGCACGTGGTAAGTACTCAGTAAAGGATTCCAGTAAATTTACTACCCCATTTTGGTCTTAAATGCACATTTTTACATATTCTAACATCTCTGAAATTGAGATGTATCCTATAATTGATGGCATTAATTCAAGGAGTTTTCCTTCCTTAGTGGTATATAATAAGATAATGGAGCATTATAACAAATTGATAGCATCTAACATTCAATATAACATGGAATATCAATCATGATAAAGCTATATTCCCAATTTCTACTTTAAGACTATTCTGAATAGTGATTATGATTTAAAAAAATTTCAAAAGCTGAGCCAAATATTTTCAATACATCATGAACRGAACAATTTTGAGATAATAATTTTGTAAAAAAATGGTTTATCAATTCCATTTTGTATAAAACATAAGGGAGGAACCTAGCCAATCAACACACACTGTCACCACATGAAAAGGTACTTTATCAAACTTCGAGTCTAAGAACATACAAATGTTTCTTTTAGCATGTCTACAGTAATTGTCTATGCCTTTCCATTTAACTGTTTTTTAAAATTCCACATATCCCCACTGTTATCTTCTGTCTCAGTTACAGTACAATGACGGGGAGGAAGAGGGTTGGTTAAAACAACCCTCTAAGCAGTTTTCTGCTGTCCCTTCTTTCCAATCAGAGATTTGTGGATATGAGGGATCACACACACCCAGCCTTGATAAGAGAATCCAACTCTTCATCACCACGGATTGCAAGCCACAAGTGACGTGGAGTAATAGGCTTTACTTGAAGATCCTTGGAAGCATTACCTGCCAGCTCCAGCACCTCAGCAGTGAGGTACTCCAGAATCGCAGCACTATATACCGCAGCAATGGCACCCACCCGTCCATGGCTTGTGGTGCGAGTCTTCAAGTGTCTGTGGATGCGGCCCACAGAAAACTGTAGTCCAGCTCTTTGTGAGCGAGACACTGCYTTGGCCTTGGCCTTCCCACAGTCCTTTCCAGCTTTGCCTCCAGCCGTGGTCTCTGCTGCCTCTGCCTTTGCTGGGCCACACTACCACCCGCTGCCGCCCGCGCTGCCTGCAGCTGCTCCCAGAGCACTCCTTCTTAAGAAGGCCTGTTCTCAGGAGAAACCGAGAAACCAGAGCTTAACCTTCAGGGGTTTTATCAGAGCCAACCTGACTTGAGGAAAGGGAAATACCCAACTCCAGCTGTTGGTAGCCATTCTTTGGTGCCTAAGGGGAAAACTGAGAAGCATGTGTGAAGGTCAATGTCCAGAGACACAGGTTCACTAGAAGACTAAGGCCAATAATAGGGCTGTAGAAAATTTCCCTTCCTCTACTCCTTATTACATTATTAAAGGCTCACTTACAGAAATGCTTTGAAATCAATATACTATCAAAAAAATTTCCAGCTATCAAAAAATCAATATACTATCAAAAAAACTTTCCAGCTATCAAAAAAATTATAAGACATACCAAAATGCAGAAACCATAGTTTAAGAGAGAACAATAAGTTCTTGTTTCCTAGGGTAGGGGAGAGGAAGGAATGCAAAGGTGAAGCACAGATGATTTTTACAAGAGCGAAACTATATTATATATATATTATAATGGTAAGTCAGGTAGGCTCACCAGTTGTAAGAAATGTATCACTCTGGTGGGGTATTTTGGTAATGGCAGAGTATGCAGGTTTGGAATTAGGAAATATATGGGAAATCTCTGATCTGTTAAGTTTTGCTGTGAACTTAAAACTGCTCTAAAAATTCTACTTAAAATTACAATTTATAATGTTTTGACTTGCACTCTATCTCTGGTCTGGTCCCAAGGAAAGGGAAATATTGATGACAATTATGGAACGATGTCCCACTGTCATTTTATATCTGGTGGCTTCTAATTCAAGAAACTTCCAAGTCTAACAGGAATTATGGGCATCAGTGGAGCCAGTAGAAAAACAGAGATCTGTGTTTTTGGAAGGCTCTGTTTTCCATCAAGGGAGGAACATTAGCTTGCCCGCCCCCTCCCCTTTCTCTGACATTTCCATACTGAGCATGGTCTCTACAGGAACTAGTGAGAGTAGCTGTGGAATAAGTAATTTGAAGTCGTTCTAAATAAAATCCAGTTAATAAAAGGGAAAGAACCTCCATATTTAAATAAGAAGAGCGTTACAGACCTTAATTTGAAAGGTATTTTTTCGATGTTTTTATTTTCCGCTGGTTGGGAGCCCGGGGACTGCCCGGAGGCACGTGCCAGGCCGAGGTCCGCATCTCATTGAACCTGGAGAAACTACGATTTCCTTCACTTTCAAACGGGCACTATTAGTGTATAGAGCTTACTGTTTCAGTGCAGAGATAGTAGTTGGAAAGTGGTTAGCATGGTGCGGTGGAGGGAGCAGGGTATGCTTTTCATACATTAGCTTCCAAAGTCTTGATTTGTGGCCAGGCAAAAAAAAAAAAAAAAAAAAAACCAAATCAAAAACAACCCATACAGTCTCAGCCCTCCGGAAGCTCCGAAACTGGTGAGTCTCACACGCAGTCTGAAACTAGCATCCCGAAGACTGCCCTAGGGGGTGAAATCCAGCCAGGCCTGCGCTGTCCTTAGCGCGGCTTCAGGCCCCGCCCCGCCCTCC